AATTCCTACACAGATGAGTGGGATCATAGTAGAGAATGAAGCCCATTTTATAGTGTTCAAACTCACAGGCATTGGACTCACACTAAAATGGGATGGCCAGGTAAAAAATAAAGAATCGTACATGCAGTACTGTTTTTCTCCCCACTGACGAGTCTCTTATTTTTAATTATTGATTTTTTCTATATATTTCTTTGGTTGATGTATAGTATCTCAGCTGTTTGTTGACTAGAGAAGCTGCTTTATACAAGTTGGCTCCAATTAGTCAGATTGGTGGCTCACTTACAAATTCCCTCCACCCTCAAGACACGATGTCACAACCCAGAATACCGCAATTGCCATGAGAACCTCATATCTTAAGATTAAGGATTATTGCATTCTAAATTGTTGCAGAATTTTGTGGGTGTTGGTGTAACAGAGAGTCTGTGGAACAGGTCCGCAGGACTGTGTGGGCTGCTGGATGGCAGAATTGAAAATGACTTTACGAGTAAAGATGGTTCTTCAGCACATAGTATTTCTTCTTTTATCAATAGCTGGAAGGTTAAAGCACTGGAAGGTTTGTACATTTATGTCTTTTTCTTCTGCTCCTGTAACCCTCCTATTGTCCTCTTCAACCTGCTTTTCTCCTGTAGGTTCTTCTAATCTGATACGATCAATACAGAATAGCCTTGAATGTCCTGAATGTCTTTTACATTTCATAGTCTATCCGAGGGAACTCATTGAGGTTCGTGCCTGTAGTATGTTTTATCTGCTTTGATTTTAATGTTTTCTTGAAGTGAACTGTGTGTTGTATATCAAGATGGTTCTTCTCGCGTTTCTACTCCGATTTCTGCATTTCAGCTGAACAGTGTGCGTCGTCACCAGTAGAAACTCCTGCCTGTGGCAGATACAACTTACATCGTGATGAGGAAAAGCATTTTCAGGTTGAGAATGCAGCCACAAATTTCTGTAACAAACTTCTTCAGGATCCTCGGTTTGCAGCTTGCAGGGCTGTGAGTATACGCTCTGGAATTTGGTCTGCATGAACCTGTAGTGAAGTTTAGAGTTTTTGGAGTGATGTGAATTCGTATAAAAAATACAATAACTTATATGCGTAATTTTTATATTGTCCTTTGTACAACATTTAAAGTAATTTAATGTGCACAGCGGTGTTACATCAGACTCCCATGAACATGGTAATGATATTTGGGTTCCATAAGTAGCAGCAAATCTTTCTGACTATCAAAGCAGCTATTAGTTTAAAAAAAAAAGATTTTGCTCCTTTGTGTTAGTCTGTCAGTCAGTCAGAGCTATAATATAGCCTTGTCCAGTGTTTGTACATTACGTCTCTCAGAGACTCAGAGTTTGGTGTTAATAGTTTATAAAAGTTGAGATTAATATTCATTATATAATACAGTGTTAAGTTAGTGTGTGTATTTACAGTTTATCACAGAATATTTTATCACATGAACAAAATGTAGACCCATGTTCTAAATATTTAACATTTTACCAGCAAAAATTCATTTTTACTAATAGGTTGTGGATGTGAAACCGTATTATGAAGCTTGCAAATGGGACTACTGTGCCTGCAATCAGTCGAACTCCAAACGAAATGAATGTGCCTGTCAGTCATTTGCGGTGTATGCAAAGGTGTGCAGCCAACATAGCGAAACAACAGCCATCAAGAATTGGAGAGATGATTCTACATGTCGTAAGTGTGAATCATTTTTGTTGACATATACTAGAATTCAAAAATTGTTCTTTTCTAAGTCATTTTTATTAAACTTTTGTGCTTCATGTTGGATCCTATGAAGTTCTTTGCTACATTATCCCTGTAAACTGAATAACACAGACATTTAATAACTTTCTCATATTCTATGGGAGCTTTATGATGAAGCTGAATGTCTGTCCTCTCAGACAGGTGAATACTCCTCATATGTATATTTCAAGGGTTTCACGTTGTTGAAATAACAGATATCAATCTTGAATTCTTTAATTTGACAGAAATATGCAAGAGAATTTAACTTTTAAACTATGAGTAACCATTTTGCTTATGTGTTCAGTTTGTATTGAAGATTTTCCCTTCTTATTGACTTCAATCCCTTAGTACATTATAGAAATTAATGTTTAAAAGTATGTAATATAATGAGTACTGTTCTTCCAGCTATGCATTGCACTGGAAGTCGGGTGTATTTCCCTTGTGGGCCAAGTTCACAAGAAACTTGTAGGTCAGTAACTTCAGTAGCCATGACATCAGTCACACAGTCCTGTGAGGAGGGGTGTTACTGCCCTGTGGGCACAGTGATCCATGACCAGCAATGCGTTTCACGAGAACAGTGCCCGTGTCAGTTGCGTGGGAGGATGTTTCAACCAGGAGAGAAGGTTATAAAGGATTGTAACACATGGTAAGTTTTATGAGTGACTCTCAGCTCCAGACTTTTCACTGTAGTCAAAAAATTTTCACTTGTTTTGTAATCGTTTCACATTTTAAATGTACAAATGTACTGAACTTGAGGTATAAGTCTGAAGTCGTAAATACTTATAAATCTTAATTATGTATATTTAGAATTGCAGCATGGAAACAGCACTGAAGTCAGTTAACAGTCTACATTGCAATTTCCACAAAATAGTTTAATTGATAGACAAATTACTGCATTACTTCCTTCATTTCTACATGTCTAGTCACCGCAGAAGTGTATGAACATTCTGATTCTCTGTGTTATCCCCCCACCCCCAATTGCTCCCATGGGGCCTGTTGCTATGTAAGTATGTAAACATGCAGATCTAATTTCCTTTGGATTGTTTAGTCATATCAGAAACTGAATGGAAAATAAATAATATTTGACAATCAAATGGCATAAATGAATTTCAGATTTTTGTTTGTAGAGTCATTAGATGCATTTGTTTTTATTGTGCATGCTTGTTTTAGTCTGTTATCTGTGACCACTAGCCTTATATGAATTACTTTTATTGCAGTGAATGTATTATAAAGTAATTTTTGGAAGATGTATAGCAAATTTTTGCCTGTAAATATAAGTGTATTGTTGGAAGTAATTTTTGTGTTTATCTCGTCATTTATAATTTAAAGATTTAGGAAACACTAGTTTTTTTTATTTTCGCAGCACGTGCGTTAGTGGACAGTGGTCATGCACACAAGTAAACTGTGGCGGTCGATGTGGAGCCATTGGCGATCCCCATTATGTGACATTTGATGGGAAACGCTTCAATTTCATGGGGAAATGCTCTTATCACCTCATGAAAGGAGATAATTACAGCATAGAGGCAGAAAATGTGGCTTGTGCAGGTGCCATCTCAGAGGTGAGTCCTGATTATTGATAATTCACTCTGAATTTTTAACTCGTTTTGTTGTAATGCTTATTATTTATGTCAAAATTAATTATTTACAATTTTGTATGACAGAGTACAGGAAAGGTTTAATAGAGACATGTCCTGGACCAGTAACTGGCTTAATGAAAAGCCTACCTGCTGGTGGTGAAACTGTGTGTCGCCATTGTGAATGTATTATGCGTTGGAAATGTTTGCATTTTTCCATGAGAAAGAAATTTGAGACCCAAACATTTGTTGGCTAGGTAATTGTTATGGTCTTCTTCAATTACTGGGTTCCCCTGCTTATGCAGTTTTTTAAATCTCTTTTGTACTGATAAAGGCATTAAATGAACACTGATTCCAGTTAGATACTGAAATTTAGAGGCTGTGGTACTCTGTACAAAGACATTCAGTGCTTGGTGACATATTGGTTTCCATGTCTCAGTATTTAGAGTGACTATATGATGGGCCAAATAGATTGCCCTTGGATTGCCAAGTACCAGGATAGTACTTTAAATTTGGCCACAACTGCTTCTTTCCACATCCTTTCCAATTCATTCTTCATTAACTTCCTCTCATTTGATGTATAGTCTGAGCTGCTGAAAAAGTGTCTTTAATAACCTGTAAATAAATAAACAAATGCTGGATTGGTTTTCTCTTGAAACTACTTGATATATTTCTAATAACCAATTAGTATAATCTGTTGATTAATAAATCAGTGTTAAATTATTAACTAATTGAAAATATTACTTTTATATTTTAGGCAATGAATTTCCTTCCTGTGAGCAGTTCTGAATATCCTTCTTGTACAAAAACTGTTACTATTCATCTTGATGAACACAGCATTAAGTTGAAACAAGGACGCGAAGTGTTAGTCGATGGACAGGAAGTGTCCAAGTTACCTTTCACAGCTGCCGGTGCTTACATACACGTCGTCTCTTCCATATTTCTTATCGGTAAGTTCCCATCACAAGGTGTTTGACTGTGTCTTCTATTAGTGTTTGTGTTTGAATTCTGGAAGTTGTAAAGTATTGGTGGTTTGGGACAAGAAACTGAATTTACTTTTATTTGAACTGTTGTGAATCTCATGTTTTATTTTCTATTTCTTTATAATTTAAAAGGCATTCCCACACCTAGAAAATGAACTTTGATTGTAAGATGTGAACTGTAAGATTTATACAGTCATGAAGATGTTTGTCATTATATCATTAAATGTATTATTTCCAGTGGATCTACCAAATGGTCTGCAAATTTGGTGGGATGGAATAACTCGTGTCTACATTGATGCACCATCACGTTTTCAAGGAAACACCAAGGTATAGGGAATAAGAAGATATCCGCCTTCTGGGTTATTGCGCTGTGTAGTCTGGTCGATGTTAACCAACGTTTCAGAGGTCATACTGCCTCCGTCATCAGGGCGATGAATATGCCAATAGGGTGTGAGGAGCTGGATTTATAGGCCAAACTCACCTTTCTCTCTCTACGAGGCAGTATGACCTCTGAAACGTTGGTTAACATCGACCAGACTACACAGCGCAACAACCCAGAAGACAGAAATCTTCATACTCACCGCTGTGAGAACCTCAAGTCTTATAGAGGGAATAAATGTGTCACTGCTTAAGATTTGTCAGTCACTCACACACACATTCTGTTTCTTTGTTCTAGTGCACAGTTGATAAAGAATTCAGTGTAATACTCATTCATGTTAACCCATTTCTCGAACTGTTTTGAAAACTGTATCATTATGATATTTTATGGTATTAATTTTATACCAAGTAAACTGTATAAATGAATACTATTTCTAATGAAATAGAAGATTAGAAACAGGTGCTTCTTTGTATTATGATTACAGATGTAGCAAGTATAAATTGGATATTGGAGGTGTGTCTGAAAATAAGTTTTCTTTTTAAATGCAATTAATATGGCATTGACACTTAGAGTAGTGGATAGTGAAAATGAATACAGAGTGAGTAATAAATGTTACGTTACAGGGCCTGTGTGGAACATTTAATCAGAATCAGAATGATGACTTTCTGACACCAGAAGGTGATGTGGAACAAGATGTAGTGGCATTTGCTAATAAGTGGAAGACAAGTGAAGTCTGTCTTGATGTTCTGGAAAGTGAGGCATCTAGCCATCCCTGTGATATCAATGCACACAACAGAGCCACTGCTGAGAAAAGTTGTTCAAAATTGAAAGGATCATTGTTTGAAGGTATCTAGATTGACTGTATAAGATAGAGTTATAGTTTCTAAAATTTTAATAACGTAAGATTGTCCTTGTGCTTAAACACTGTCAGAAATGACATTAGGAGCATGGAAGTAAGGAACTATTTACCTGAGACCACATCACTGGATAGAGTTGTAATGGTATAATGAATGATTCATCTTGTGTAAAGGAAATGCTACTATCAAAATGTAGGTTAAGTTATTTTGGTAAGATGTCAGATTCTTGCGGTGATGAGTGTGAGTCTGTTAGAAATTTACTGATGTTTTAGAGTTGCTCGCTGCCGTCATCATCAGCGGAATGAGTGACTCATCACCCTGATAATGAAGGCGACAAGCATGTCTGAAACACTGGTAAACTTCTACTAGAGTACATGGTACATCATCCCAGAAGACAGACAGTTTCAAATTTGTTTCGGTTTATTTTCAGTAAAGTCTTCTCAGTTGATTGTCTCTATTGATACGTGATCAGTCTCTGATATTATGCACAGTCTGCGTCTGCATAAACTTTCACCGATCAGGGTTGAGCAATGTGTTGAAGTCATCATATGTCATTGCACTGCATTTAGAATCTTTAAAAGTTAAATTATAAGTTTTGGTTGCTTTTAATATGTCTTGAACAACTGTGCAGTTGAGTTGACAGTGGAGCCATTAACAAATAGCCTGTCTGTAAGTCTTATGATGGCATTGACTTATTTTATTTGCTGCTTTTCACAGGATGCCACTGGTTTGTCGACCCAGAGCCATATTATCAGGACTGTCTGTATGACCTTTGTTCTTGTCAATTGAAGATTTCGCAGTGTTTGTGTCCCATATTTGCAGCATATGCGAAGGAATGTGCCCACAAGGAAATTCTTATTGATTGGAGAAGTGACATAAGAGAATGTGGTAATGTATTTTATTTGAAAAGTAACTTTGACCACTTTAAGTTTATATCTCTCTGGCATACAACTATGAATGTGTATTTACATTTTTATGATCTTAGAGAAATTTGTTCAGCTCAGGACACGGACCAGTGGTGAGCGCTTGTGAGCACTGTGTTAAATCTCCAAGTTCCATAAAAACTAGGGAGTTTATTGTTTAGCTGAGCAACTATTAGCTTTTCAAGTAGAACTTTGCTCTGTGGAGTTAGTTTAATTTGTTATTTTTCCACATTTGGTTGCTCTTTGTTGCGAACCCACATGTTAGCTCATTTTTCTGTTGTGTCTAACATCTCTTTGGTTCCTAAGATAATATTGTTTCTTTATATGTGTGCCCTGGCCATTTGCTTCTCTGTAGTATAATGTGGCTGAAAGGGTTTGAAATATATCAAGATTTTTTTCAAGAAATGGTTACAAAATCTACGTGCTGTTAAGTTTTCCATTGATAACAAATATATTAATTTCCTGAATTATACATGAGAAAAACTTTGGCAATACTTTTTTTGGGTGTTAGTGGAAGAGATGTTCTGATGTTCCCTGAATACTTAGCAATATCTTAAGTATCCAACCTAACCTGATATCATCAAGGCAATATAACAGCAGTCTTCATAGGGGTTATAAAAGTACTGGAAATTGTGTTACTGTAACACTAGAAGGTGCATTTAACAACAGTTGTAGTAATAGTAGTGTATGTGTGCGCGTGCTCACGCCAATTTTCACTCATGCATTAAAGAACTTGAAATCATGCAGCATTTCCTGAGGCATTGGATGCGTGTGTGTGTATGACATACACAATTATGTCACAATCCTGAGAACACGATCATCAGCTTGTGAAGCTTTAGAACAGCTTAACGTATCATTCGAGATTTTTCTTCTTCTCCTTTGTATGTTTTAAAACTCTTGCCCCTTTATGATGATTTGGTTATGGATATGAGATGTCTTTTTTACATAATAGCATACACATCATAAGTGATAATGAAGTCTTGTTACAGAAATTATAATGTTTTATGATTAGGAATCCATTGTCCTGGTGGTCAGGTGTACCAAATATGTGGAAATACTTGCACACGCTCCTGTTATGACATCTCGCAGAATCCACAGTGCAGGAGGCAATGTGTTGAGGGCTGCAATTGTCCTGAAGGGCAAACCATAGATCCTACAATAGGAGAATGTATTCCAGTGGGTCGTTGTGCCTGCCAGCATGAAGGTGTGGAATATCCAGCTAATTTCAAAGACGTTAGAGCAGGAAATAAGGGACTAGAACTTTGGTAAGTGGATTCATGTTATATGGCATGTTAACCCCTCGCCTCGGAAAGTCGTCTCCAGACGTGCTGGCATTTAAATTTAGGTCTTCGGAACCACGTTCAATGACGTGCGGCTGTAAGCCTAATTTCAAATGCCCATAAGTATGGAAATAATAACGACTGATATTTGATGTTTGTAGTTGATTTGTCGTGGAAAAAATGCTCTTTCTGTTCATGTAGTGGCAACGTCCAATCTTGTGGAACATACCAAAATAATATTACTCTTAGAGAAAGGGATATAAAGGGAAATTGAATGCAGAGTGGTAGCCTACTAAATGTGAGCTATTAAATATGTAGCAGGGTATTCAGCAAAAGGCAAAAGAATATCCCAGAAAATTTGATTTTGGAGGTGTGCAATGATTCTAAAACTGGAAGATTTTGTATTGAAGCAGATAATAGAAGAGTTACATGAATATAATAGTTAACATATACCTGACCTTTATAGATCATGCAGGGGTATACAATCAGATAAATGGAAATAAACTGTGAAATAAAATGCAGAAAAAGAAACTTTAATCCAAACAAAAGGCTTTCCTTCGAACAGTTTGTGTCGCAATGCCGTGTGGGAGTGCCAGCCTGCAACTCCTCAGGAGTCTGAAGAGTTTCCTAAGACAGGAGCAATGGTAGCTGGTTGTAGTCATGTAGAAAACCAAGAATTCACCACCTGTGAGCCTGTAGAACCTGTGACATGCAAGGTGACTATTCCATTTATGTGTATTTATCTGTTTGTGGCAGACCGTGGAATAAATTATGTTGTACATGAACCTTTGGTTTACGTTTGTTGTTCACAGTGGATAATTTACTCTCAGGTGTGGGATTTATTTTGTCCCAACTGAGTTTCAGTGTGAAAGGATATTCTGCAAGATATTCTTATTGTGAGATGTTACAAAACCTGCAATCTCATTTTCATATTTAGCAGTTGTATTAATTTTTTTATCTAACATATGCAAATTTAACAAAAATTATTCTGTTGTTCCAGAACATGCACAGTCCTCCACAGTACAGCCCTGCCATCTGTAGGACAGGCTGTAAATGCAAGAAAGGATATGTGCTGGATTCACACACGAGGAAGTGCATTAAACCTACTGAGTGTCCTTGTCATCATGGTGGAAAGAGTTACGGAGAGGCCGAGACCATGCAAGAAGACTGCAACACATGGTGCGTTAAATTGCTGCATTGCTTATTCTATTAACTGTATTGTGCATCTTGAAGGTATGTTGTTTTCTCTCTGACTAGGGGTAGGATGCCGAATAACAAATCATCTTCACTGTTTTTTTATTACACAATAGACTTTTGAGCATCCTATGAATTAATATATAAATTTTAGGATTGTTCTAAAATTTGTACAACATAATAAAATTTGGAAGGGCCCACACCCATTTAATGTAGTCAAACACAGTGAAATCACATTTTAAAGTTAAAATAACCTGAAAATATTTGTTATGATATCATCACACACTAGTGTTTTAGAATATATCAGGGGGAAGGGTTTCATATATGATCAGTCTATCTGTTGGATCCAGGTACTTCTTTAGCCTCATTAATTTAGGTTAGTATTCATAGAGTATTCTTGGGAAATGGAATTTTTCCATCCTTCCTGTTTGTTTCGGCTATCTTAATATTCTCTCTCTATTACCTAATGTTGAGCATCTGCAGTCCTTATTTCACATGTGCTGTATATTTGTGATAAAGCAGTTATTGCTGACATCTCCAGTGATAAAACATGAAAGGTTTATTTTGTTTTATTTTATATTGTACGAAGCTGTGAGATAAATGTAAATCTCATCAATTATTCTGTTTTAAAAAGTGTGTTCCTCTGTTTCACAGTAAGATTATGTCATACTGTGCATTTCTCTTGCAGCAAATGTGAATCTGGCAAGTGGTCATGTTCAGAACGCGTGTGTGCTGGCGTATGTACAGCCTGGGGTGACTCCCATTATAAGACGTTCGATGGACGAATCTATGATTTCCATGGAAACTGTGACTATGTTCTGGTGAAGGGATCCCTTGGCTTTGATGACATATTTGATATTTCCATACAGGTTGGTATAACTGCACAGTTCCTTCTCAAACAATCTACCCTGTTCTATATAACACATGGGAATGATACTTTCTGGTGAAGTTTACAGAACAAAGCGTACTGACATCACTGCAAGGGGTGGGGAGCCATCCAGGCTGTACAATAAATTCAGGAATTATGTGATAATATTAGCTACTGCTACTGATGCTTATTACAAACATTTATCTTGATTTGGTTAATACAGAGATATTATGTTCTTTGGTCTAACAGAATGTGCCGTGTGGATCAAGTGGCATCAGCTGCTCCAAGTCAGTCTCTCTGAGGGTGGGGTCATCTGAAAAAATGGAAATAATCACCTTTACTAGAGAGAAACCTGTTCCTTCACATACAAGCTTAGGGAGGTATGACACTGTCTATCTTCTGTACCTTACTGTCTTGAACTTCGGTACCCAAAACAAAAGTGTGTTCTTGCGATTTCCATTGGCTTAGGTTTACGGTTCCCATACAACGTATTTATCAGTCACTTCAGTCCCCATTCTTCAAGATTTAGTCGACACCTGACCACTGCGTTTTTTGTTTCCCTCATTCCATTTGTTTTCCAATTGGAGCTCAATCAGTATAGTGACTGACTACTTACTGGACGAGTAGGATTCAATCCCCGACGGGGGCAGAGGATTTTTTCTCTAGCCTCTGCATCCAGACCGGCTCTCGGGCCTACCCAACCTCCTCTCCCGTGAATACCGGGGTCCTTTCCCAGGGGTAAAGTGTGACCGGGGCGTGATGATATTATTGTAACTGAAATTATCAGAATATCAGTTCAAAGCTTCATGTATGAAACAACACAAGAGTAAATAAGATAAAGACTAACATTTCTGGAGATTTTCAGTTCTTCTGCGGAGTCAAATGTAATTTCAGTAACATAGAAATTGCTATCATCTATCCCTCTTTAAGATATTCTGTTATAATGCCAGTCGTAAATTGTTGAAGAGCTTAGGTGGAGTAGTCAGTATTTAGAGCATTGTGTTGAGGTGGTTTGGTTCACCAGGGTTTTGGAGAGATTATTCTCCTCCAGGATGATGTGACTGGCAGCAGACCTAGTTCGTCACTGTATTTGCCATTACATGATGCCATTACGATAAAATGAAAATACAAGTTTGAACGAACCAACAGGACTTTGTTGAGTAAAGTAAAATAAAAAATGGGTGGTGTATTGTTTCATTATCATGGCAACTATTTTCAGGAGATTCATAGCAATAGACATACAATTTTTTGTTTGTTTTTTACATATATTCTCTGTACAATTGCAAATGATATCAATAAAATATGACTTATTGCAGAATAACAATCCGTGAAGCTGGTTTATTTGTGTTTGCGGAGGTGTTTGACTTGGGTCTAGTTCTCCAGTGGGACAGAGGAACCAGAGTTTATGTCAGAGCTGATCCCAAATGGAAGGACAGGGTGAGTGATTTGATGACTGATAACACATTATGTTTCCAGCTGATTATTTGGTTTTCAGATCTTCAGTTACACTTCCTGGGTTGTACGCCTTCTTAATATTGTTAACATTCTTGAAAAATGTATTTGTGAGAGTTGGGCATATTGAAAATTCAGACTTTGCACAGAATGCAAAGTGGGCGCTCTGTATTTTCATACAGATTACACCTTTACATAATTTCTAATTTATAGTGCTTTCGTCAAGAAGAGGATACTTCTCACTAGCAAGTTGGGCTTGGAGATGAAGAAGAAGCTAGTGAAGTGTTACGTATGGAGCAGAGACTTGGACACTCAGGAAGAAGGAACAGAAATACCTGGAGAGTTTTGAAATGTGGTGTTGGAGAAGAATAGAGAAGATCAGGTGGACGGATCGAGTGACCAACGAAGAAGTATTGAGGAGAGTCAACGAGCAAAGAAACATTCTGAAGGCGATTACACGAAGGAAAGCTAACAATTCCAGGAATTAAAGCGAGAAGCCGAGAATAGGGACAACTGGAGAGCTCTTTTTGGGCAGAGCAATGGACCTGTCGTAAGACAGAACACTAAATAATAATAATAGTCTCACTGTTTTGATGTAAGTATTTGAATGGATACAGATGTAATTGCTTCTGTGCTGGCATTCTTGTTTGCATAGTGAGAAGGATTGTATAATGTTCTGTCAGGGCTTTACGAGGTTGTATTGGATCAAAATTAAATTTGGCTGACAGTTTTTAGTGTAGTTTGCAGTATCAAATAATATTGGTATCTACTGAATGGTTTTGGAGCTGGTGCATGGTTTGACAGGAAAATGGACATCTCCATGTTTAAAGAGCACACCTTGCAATAGTGCTCAGATTTTGTTGGTATGAGCGTGCTTCTCAATAACATAAGAAAAGTGTCAGTGCGAAACACTTCCAGGTTAATTCCGGCACCAGCACCTGGAACTCTGTGTCTGTCACTACGAATGAAAGTGTCTGTTTTACGCTACTTTGAAGTTAATAGAATTTTGAAATTTTCTTTCACTGTTTCAGCTGAAAGGTTTATGTGGTAACTACAATGATAACCAGTTGGATGACTTCCAAACTCCTTCTGGTGGTTTGAGTGAGGTGTCTGCAAGACTCTTTGGTGATTCATGGCGACTCCAATCTTACTGTGCAGAATCAGTTGATATTGCGGTATGTATGCTCTTTCACTTTAAAAATGTTCATAATTAAATCACGGCAGTTTAGGTAATGAAGGTAACAAAGGTAAACATTGATGTAGGTTAGGTTAGATTATGAAGGGCTAGGCTAAGTTTGGTAACGATGGTGATAAAGACAACCATGAGAGCCAAAGTAACTGTGTTAACCTCAGGTTAGTTCAGGTTATGTTAAGCTAGGGTAGGACGGCGAAGCTGGGTAAGTTTGGCAACATATTTATAATACAAAATTTGTAACGAGAGTGTGTGGAAACTGTGCGTTTTGGTACGGTTTGCAGCCTTGCAATCTGGTTCTGCTATAAACTTATAGAGACTGGTAGTGGGTGATTGTATTTGGTCATAATTTGAAAGTAGCACCAAACAGTGCCAAAATGACCTTACATTTTCAAGTGCAATTCCTCTTGTACTTATTTATATCAATGGGGATCTGTTATCTTCACCAGTTTATATTTAATGTCTCTTGAGAATGACTATAGTCGTTGATTGTCACAGGACACATGTCTCAGTCATCCAAACCGCAAACTGTGGGCTATGAAGAAGTGTGGAGTATTGAAGTCATCTGTCTTCCAACCTTGCCACTCTGAGGTGCCACTGGAACCGTACCTTGAAAGGTAATAATCATTTCTGTTTGTGCATGATGTAACTCGTTCTGATCTGTAATTTGAGGAGTCGCTGTATATGGAAGTGAAAATATATTTGGTTAATGTTCCAAAAGTCCTTTAAACCTCATTTATATAGTGGATTAACAGTTATGTTTTTGTATTTTTCCAGTACAAAAATTATGTTTTTACAAAAACTTTTGCTTCTAAATCTTGTTCTGGTATTGATTGACTCTGAATTGGGTTTTGGGTTGTATGGAAAATTACAAGTTCTTAAAATCATACAGAATGTTGGTGGATAAAGTCTATGAAAATGTTTGCTTGCAAGACTGAGAAGGAGATTTGAAGTTAACTTTAAAATGGATCATAGTTAAACAGTATGTGAATATGGGAGATGGATGAAACTATCTGAGTATTGTCTTACACTGCCTTTAGTATTAGTGTGTTGAACCTTCAGGCTGTGCTACCACAGTGTTAGTATATTTTACCGTATCAGAAATTTGTTTGTTTAGGTGCATTTTTGATGCCTGTGGCTGTGATTTGGGTGGTGATTGTGAGTGCCTCTGCACGGCCATTTCAGCGTATGCTCAGGAGTGTAACGTAAGAGGTGCAAGTATCAAGTGGAGGTCACAAGAGCTCTGCCGTAAGTGCTGTCACCTATCTTGTCACTGTCCCTCTAATTAATGTAACAAGTTTGTGTGGGGCTTTATGCAATAATTTAAAAACTTTCAGCAACAGTAGAAATTTTTTTATTTATTTTTTTCAGATGATTTTTCAGATTCATTACAAGCTACTGTTCAGTACAGCCCATCCTAAACACCATCTGTCACCTTTTGTTAGTCCATAAGTGAATACAAGCATTCTGTGGTTTTTATAAACTTAGTGTAAGTTCTTTTAAACTTTGTTTCTGTCTTTATGTGCTGTACAGAGTTTAAGTCACCATCGTTACACATGATTGGAGTTTCAACTTCAGGAACTTCTATTATTTGTGGGTGAAGGGGCTCTTTGTTAGACTAAAACTGAAATTCACTCTCTTTCTTTTTTCATATCTTCATGTTCAGTTTGTGTTCTTTTGAAACCACTATATATTTTGATAAGGCAAAGAAAATATGAACAGAATAAGTGTAAAAATGTCACTTGAGGAATGTAATATTATGTTTCTTGTATCTCATCAGTGAGATGTGACAGATAGATTCCCTGTAAAAGTTTTCATTTTGTTTCTCTTGAACCAGTGCCAACTAGAAGCTTCATTGTTAAAAGTTGAAACAATAAGAGGGACTTGCAAAGGAATTTGTATTAAAGCCCCTCAAGTATCTTGGTATCTGATATTAATAGCTGTTGAGATGTCAGGTTAGCTCAGTCAATATAGTGACTAGGCTGGGAGGGCAGGAATTTTCTCTTTATCACATTGTCTAGACTGGCTGTGGATGCTTAGTTAACACCTGGGACAACTTTGCCTTTTTCTTTAATAGCTTCTGAGATGATATTCATGGTCTAGTACCATACTGTAAGGTTGTAAGACTTGAGGTTCTCACAGCGGTGAGTATGAAGATATCCGTCTTCTGGGTTATTGCGCTGTGTAGTCTGGTCGATGTTAACCAACGTTTCAGAGGTCACACTGCCTCCATCATCAGGGCGATGAGTATGAAGATTTCTGTCTTCTGGGTTATTGCGCTGTGTAGTCTGGTCGATGTTAACCAACGTTTCAGAGGTCACACTGCCTCCATCATCAGGGCGATGAGTATGAAGATTTCTGTCTTCTGGGTTATTGCGCTGTGTAGTCTGGTCGATGTTAACCAACGTTTCAGAGGTCACACTGCCTCCATCATCAGGGCGATGAGTATGAAGATTTCTGTCTTCTGGGTTATTGCGCTGTGTAGTCTGGTCGATGTTAACCAACGTTTCAGAGGTCACACTGCCTCCATCATCAGGGCGATGAGTATGAAGATTTCTGTCTTCTGGGTTATTGCGCTGTGTAGTCTGGTCGATGTTAACCAACGTTTCAGAGGTCACACTGCCTCCATCATCAGGGCGATGAGTATGAAGATTTCTGTCTTCTGGGTTATTGCGCTGTGTAGTCTGGTCGATGTTAACCAACGTTTCAGAGGTCACACTGCCTCCATCATCAGGGCGATGAGTATGAAGATTTCTGTCTTCTGGGTTATTGCGCTGTGTAGTCTGGTCGATGTTAACCAACGTTTCAGAGGTCACACTGCCTCCATCATCAGGGCGATGAGTATGAAGATTTCTGTCTTCTGGGTTATTGCGCTGTGTAGTCTGGTCGATGTTAACCAACGTTTCAGAGGTCACACTGCCTCCATCATCAGGGCGATGAGTATGAAGATTTCTGTCTTCTGGGTTATTGCGCTGTGTAGTCTGGTCGATGTTAACCAACGTTTCAGAGGTCACACTGCCTCCATCATCAGGGCGATGAGTATGAAGATTTCTGTCTTCTGGGTTATTGCGCTGTGTAGTCTGGTCGATGTTTACCAACGTTTCAGAGGTCATACTGCCTCCATCATCAGGGCCCTGATGACGGAGGCAGTATGACCTCTGAAACGTTGGTTAACATCGACCAGACTACACAGCGCAATAACCCAGAAGACGGATATCTTCATACTGTAAGGTTCCTCAAAAGCTAGGTTTATCCGCCACGCTTGACAGAGTAGTACCCTTTCTTCCATGTCTGAAGAAGGGGGCAGAGCGTGAAGGTAGTGTGATGCTGACCTCGTTTTTCTTTGGTCTTTGCAGCAATCCAGTGCGATGAGAAGTGTTCCCACTACAGCCCATGTGTGCAGACCTGTCCAAAGCAGACTTGTGACAACTATTTTATTCATAGTAATCTCAATAAGCTCTGTGGTGAAGATGCGTGCGTGGAAGGTGTGTTACAGTTACAGTTGTTTTATTTTTCCTCCTGCGATGATAAGTTCTATCTTGAATATAGGATAGTATTCACATGCACTATCACCAATAAAGCATTTGCCTAAAAATATCTAAATTTTTTAGCTATAAAATAGTCATCATCTGGCTGGTACGAAAAACGTTTGTTGTGGAGCTGCACTGTAATGGGGTCTTGAGGGTCTGTGTACTTTGGTTAATTTAGCTAAAACTTTTGTTTACAGGTTGTGAAGTAACTCCGTGCCCTCCTGGCCAAGTTTTCAACAATTTAACATCACTGGAATGTGTGCCTGTTGCTACCTGCAAGCCATTCTGCATGCAGATTGGTGATGTTATCTACTATGAGGGGGATATTATACAGCAAGATGACTGCCATAAGTGGTAAGTTTATTACGTCGTGAGACTCGCGGCAGAGTCCCTCAGCTGGTCGCTATATTTCCTAGGCTTTTCACAATATTTATTTGATCTGTTACTGAATCCGTTGAATCTAGTCTGCAATATAAAACCTATTTGTTCGAGATACATTTATTTTCCTATCCATGCCTAATGATAGTAAATTTAAGGTGGTTGTTGTGTTTCATCATCATCATCATCATCATCATCATCATAAAGATTAGAAATTTCCTTTCATTTATAGTAGATTCTCACAAAAATTGTCTCTCTGCTAGATGTTCATTACCTGCAAATACTGTGTATAAAGATGTTAACATATTTATAAATCATTTTGTTATGCTTAATCCTGTTTTAAAGTAATACTTTTTGTGTTAGGAAATTTTTCCATCACTTCACTTTATTGTAGCATAATTATTTAACATTTATTATCATATTTATTACACGTATTTAGACTGGTTTTATTTTTGCCATTGTTTTCTGTACTTCGTACTTATATTACTGTGTAGTTGGCTCTTGTAGCTGTTGAGTCAGCATGTTAAAATAAAGAATTAAATTAAATTGTTGTTATCACTATTATTAATAATAATTGCTACTCTTCTATATTGTAATGGCTAGCACTGATTACACATAGATTCTTTTATGAGACAGAAGGATTTATTCAATCACACTTACTAAAATTTATTACTCTTTTTAACTTAATTTTTGTTGCTCTTTTAATCACTATTGTTATAACATTTCCCTTCATTACAGAAAACAAGTATTTCTCTGTCTTTCTCTTGACTTAATTATAACCAAGTACTGTCTTCAGCTCCATCTTACTTGCTTGTAGACTGTTCACCATCAGAACTCATACTGATAGACTATGTGACTCACCTTGAACTAACAATCAGCTGTTTGTAGCCAAGATTCAAGTACTTGTTGTAATTGTTTGAGGAATTTTTCGCTGTTCCACAAGCCAGGAGAGCGTGACAGAGAAACGGAGGATATGCTTGCACTAACTGTGGCATCACTAGGAGACCAACAGTCCCTCCTGGCAAGATGACCTTGAAGATGTGTCACCTAAACGCTGTGACAGTTGCTTGTGATATTAAGCAGTGTTTGGCATATAGAACACCTTTGTACTCAAAAGTGTGCACCATTTCAATTATAATACTTATTCATAGTTATTACAGAACATGATGGACAAGTTAGTGGAAACAGGTAGAGAGTATGGAATGGAAATCAACATTGAAAAATCAAAGGTAATGAGGATAGCACCGAGAGCAGAACCATTGAACGTTGTAATTGGAAACAAACAGATGGAGAATGTGGAGCATTTCAAGTACTTGGGAAGCATAGTCACGACGGACGCTCTGTGCACCAAGGAAGTAAAAGCGAGGATAGCCATGGCCAAGGCAGCTTTCATCAAGAAGAGGATATTTCTCACTAGCAAGTTGGGCTTGGAGATGAAGATGAAACTAGTGAAGTGTTACGTATGGAGTGTCGCGCTGTATGGAGCAGAGACTTGGACACTCAGGAAGAAGGAACAGAAATACCTGGAGAGTTTTGAAATGTGGTGTTGGAGAAGAATAGAGAAGATCAGGTGGACGGATCGAGTGACCAACGAAGAAGTATTGAGGAGAGTCAACGAGCAAAGAAACATTCTGCAGGCGATTACACGAAGGAAAGCTTACTGGCTGGGACATATTATGAGAAGGAATGGGTTACTGAGTGACATCATCGAAGGCCAGGTTGAAGGAAAGCGAGGACTGGGAAGAAGATTGATACAGCTAACCGACGACCTTAAACAAGGAAAGAAGATGACATTCCAGGAATTAAAGCGAGAAGACGAGAATAGGGACAACTGGAGAGCTCTTTTTGGGCAGAGCAATGGACCTGTCGTAAGACAGAACACTGAATAATATAATAGGCTAATGAATTCAGTGATGTTGCCCTATGAGGCAAACACATTCTAATTATGTGAATAATTATTGAAGATGATGTACCTTTATAGGACTGATGCTATTTTTACTACTATTACTACTACTACTACTACAGCTACTACTGTCCTGTGTAGTGTCTTTCTGGATGCACAGCTTTAATTGAGATTACTTTTGTATTCAGGTCTGCAGACAGTTCATTGCGTAGACCTCATGATAAATATTCAGTATAATATTTTCTTTTTGCAGTACATGTTCTCATCAAAAGAAAACATGCCTTGGTCAGCCGTGTACTTCTATAACAAGTACACCACCCACAACTGTATTTGCAGCAACAACTACTGAAATGAAAACGCAGATTCCCAAATGTACAGGAGGTTGGACAAATTGGCTGAGCCGTGATAATCCAAAGTACGAAACAGGCGCAGACACTGAGCCACTTCCCACAGTTGGCCAGCTGGTAAGTAGCTATGAAGAAGGTGTAGTGAATATGGGTGTGTTGAGAGGTAGCAGAGATTCTAAGTGGATATCTTCCAAGTACAAGTCAGATGTGTTACTGCTTGAGCTGATCTACATGATAGAATAAGAACAAAATATAACTCCATGGGGTAGAGTTCTTCTTGAGGAGCTGATTTGGCTCAGACAGTCAAGAAATTCCCACCTTTTTATGAGATTCAAAGGTTCATTACAGTGTTAAGAAGAGCCTAACACCAGTCATAATCTGTGATACATCCATACATAACCTTAAATCCTCTTTCCATAAGATTCATTTGAATATTATCCTCCCATCTTTACTCAAGTGTTCTGAGTGGTCTCTTCGCTCGTCAGAATTTCTATCTAAAATTTTGTACGCACTTCTCAACTCCCCATGTGTGGTGCTTACCTCTCCTATCTCATCTTATTTGATTTGACCTTTGTAATAATTTGTGGTGATGAGTGTAACTTATTGAATTCCTCAATATGCACTTTTTCCACCCTCCTGTCATTTATCTGCCTTAGGTCCAAAGAAATTCTGATGCTGCGTTTTCTGATTTTTTTTAGGCTTCTATCCATTTCCAACACTGATGGCAAAGTAGTTGTTTTGCATCTTAATTAACACTATTTTCTGCATTTCCTTCTTTGTGATTTATGTTAGTATGATTAGTCATTGGTCCACCATTACATTCATCATCTTCTTTCTAACATAATTGTTTTTTTATTGGAGGGTTTACATTTTACCCCAGTACCCATCAGACAGGAGTCTTGGTGGGCCCCAAAGCCAGTGTGGATGTAGAGACTAGTGAAATCCTCTACCTATGTTGGGGAAGGAACTCCAATCATCCAGCCTGTAGCCAGTCAGTATACTGATTGAGCTACCTGGCTCACTGGTAAGGTAGTATATTCCATATTAATTGCATTGTTTGAATTTCTTAGAAATGTTTTTCTCTTTGTAGATAGCAGAACAAAGTCCAGCTGTCTGTAATGTAACAGAAATGAAGAGCATAGAATGCAGAGTTGTAGGAACGCATCAGTTCTACAAAGACACTGGTGAGAATGTGGAATGCAGCATAATGAATGGAGGGCTGAAGTGTGTTGGAGGATGTCACAACTATGAGATCCGTGTCCTTTGCAAATGTAAGTAACATTATAGATAGATGATTGACTAATGACGCAGATGAAACTAGTACCGTATAAATTGTGGTGATTAATTGGAGTTGGATGATTCGAGGTCGATGATTGTGTACAAGGAACTGGAAATAAGGGACAGGAAGTAATCATGTCCTTATTTGAGGTACTTTTGTGACCTCCTTTGAAGGACTAATGAAAATAACATGAAGCTTCTAATAAACCGAGTACATCCTATACTCAAATGACGCATGGCAGTTTTGAGTCAAGTTGAAGCTCGGAGGAAGCCATGATGTAATTTCCATCAAATATATATTTATAATTGGAGTTTTGAATGATGAAAAATGATATTTAATGTGAGTGGGAAGGTTGAAAGTTCTCTGAGATAAGGCATAACTCTTTTTTAAAAAGAAACTTGTATGTTGGAAATTTTGCACTGTTTTTAGTAATAAATTTTTGAAGTGAGACCAGCCATTATGTAGAGGAATTGATAATAACATAGATGAACCTTCATGCAACTCAGAATAGAAGTGGGTGAGATCTTTATTGTGACACTGGATGAAATTTATTTTGTGCTTGAGATGTTCGAGGACTGACTGGGATGTTGAGCTCTATTATTAGTGTTTCAGGGATTAAAACACCAAAATGAATTTACTAAGGTAATACAAATCACATCTTCATTCTGTATATATTATATGAATTGTCTGTAACATTTGAACAAAATTTGATTAAAAGTGCAGAAGTTTCTCGATTTTCCAAAGAATAATTATTTGTGCCTAGTAAGATAGGCTTAAGTCATATAATTCCTATTAACTTTCAGCTTCCTTATTGAGCACTGAAGAATTTATTGTGAATTTGACTTTTATAATATGAAAACAGGGAATATAAACTCATGTACTATAGGGCTCTTAGCCAGACTCTGTAGTTATGGTTTAGTCGTATGCTATTATGGCACGTACAGTCGTCAAAGGTTAGAACCTCATCTCCGCCATCATCCAAGGTATTTAAATTGCTTAGTGCTGACTGGTTGAATCTCTGGCTCTCTGTTCTGTGAAGTATTATAGAACTTAAGAATTGTGGAAAAGGCAAAAGTTTGTATTATATGTTTGGTTGCTTTGCAGGTCCAATTCACTGTGATGTAAATAATCCAAACTCAAGAGATGTTAAAGATTGTCATCGCTTCTACCACTGTAAAGACACTCTTGAGGGTCCTGAACTGGTTGAGAAGACATGTGGTCCATTCATGATGTACAATCACGAGAAACAAGTGTGTGACTGGCCAGCGACTGTTATAGGACTGAGGCCAGAATGCGCAGGTATGGGTCAAGTTATCAGTTTTTAGTACTATCCTGATTTTCAACTCACATGTTTAGCCTACATTCACATCTGTAAAGATGAAAATATGCTTATGAGATCACCATGCCCTTTGACTGTGTGTGTCTCTCCTTCCAATGCTTAAACTGGTTGACTGATTTTCATGAAATTTGTTTTGAACGTTACGCCATTTGATGCCACCATATTGTAATACTAGCTTTCTACAATGAGTAATAACATCAGGGCAGAAGCTTGAACGTAGGATTTACATTAGCACACACATCATTGTACCCCCTCCCATTTTTTTGTTTTCATAAGTTCTTAAGTTTACTGAAAGTTTATAAAACAGTGCATTGCTGTATACTCTGGTACTGCGCTTGTGAATATAGCTTTCTTGTGTTTTCCCCACAGTTTCCATTATGTAGTGAATCTGAACGAGGAGATGAAGACCGAACCTTCCTTTCTTTTGACGCTAAACTTTGCAACACCAGCTTAACTAATCTGTGTTGATAGAGCATTCATGTATAACCTGAAAATAAAATAATTTTTGTAAGACTTGAGGTTCTCACAGCGGTGAGTATGAAGATTTCCGTCTTCTGGGTTGTTGCGCTGTGTAGTCTGGTCGATGTTAACCAACGTTTCAGAGGTCATACTGCCTCCGTCATCAGGGCGATGATGACGGAGGCAGTATGACCTCTGAAACGTTGTTAAACATCGACCAGACTACACGGCGCAACAACCCAGAAGACGGAAATCTTCGAAATAATTTTTGATTATCGATTTTTTGTTTTCTCCCAACTATTAACAGAAATAATAAAGAGTGTACTGTACTTTTGGAGAAATGAAAACATGGATACATGTAGGTCCAGGGGCCCTTTACAGCTTCACCTTCACAACTTTCTAGATTTGTGGATTTTGTCCTTGGTGAAGGTACTAAATACCAGGATGACATGTGACAGGTGGCTACAAGCAAAAACAATGGCAGCTTGGATCTGAATGAATATTAGGTGCAGTGGGACCACCCAGAACAAGTTTTACTCTATCAAAATCTTCTTTTGTTGCCAGAATTATGTTTTGTATTTTGAAACAGCAATCACACCTGAACTCACAACAGAAACTGCAACAACACCAACTTCTGAAACAACACCAGGGGAGTGCAAGTCAGGGTGGAGCCGTTGGTACGACACACCACGCAAATCAAGTGGGGATTATGAAAGCCTGGACGATTTGGAATATGAAGGAAAATTACCCTGTAGAAGACATGAAATTACCGACATTGAGTGCAAGTTCTACAAGAATGTTACCAGGTGAGTTGGACTATTTTAGGAAACAACATATCTGCTGCTTGCTTTTGCGTGAGACTTTACACCTGAACAGTCTTTAACCATTTATTTACTCTTTACCTGCAGGTAAATATTCCATAAGAAGTTAGTTTATTGCTTCCATCTTATCTTAAAGAAGGTAGAGTTGACAGTACTTCACATATTAACATTTGCTTTATGATATAGTGAAGTGTTATACAGTTAACTTATCATACAGGAATAGGGGATTTAAAGCTCTGTAATGCAGCTGCCAGTTGGATTTCAGCTCCAGTGAAAGTTAAAGGAACATATTAATTTCCTGACTAAAATATGTGTTGCAGCAGGAACGATTCTAATGACTTTTCAAAATGTGGATCTTTTTGTGTTTCTTTTACTTATCTTGGCACTTACAAAAAACAAATTTCAGATTCAATTGTTTCCAGTATTATATTGCGGATTTGTAGAATTTAGTATCTAAATTTGTTATTAAGTCAGTACTATGATTATGAATATATGCATAATACATATGCATTGGGTGTGTGCATGTGGATACACGCACATGTGCGTATGCAGAGTGAAACCCTGATAAAATACCCCTTTGTGTTCCATTACCTTCTTTGTATCGCACCCATGAAAGCCTCAGAACAGAAATTTTCTATGTAATTTCAAAGTCTTGTTGTCATCCTTAGTAGTGATTTGCATGTTTTATTTATCTCTGTTTCTCTTGTGCTGTTTAGAAAGACTGTGAAGGGTGGTCTCAAAACCAGGTCAGAGAAGATAGACTACACACAGTCTGGTGACCATGTGACTTGCAAACTGTCATCGGGCTTGGAATGTAACAATGCGCAACAGAAAGATGGGCTGTGTGAAGATTACATTATTAGAGTCTTCTGCAGCTGTGAAGGTAGGTTGCATTGTACGCGATTGCTGCGTTGAACTCGCAGTATTATTAGTAGGAGTAGTCATTAAGTTTTGTCCATGTTACTGCATTGGTTGCAAGTTTCATATTTTTCTTTGAATTTATTATAGGTGTTTAATAGGACTTTGCAGACACTCAGTTTCTTAATACCAGTAGACTCCATCATAAATTTGAATTTGAACTTGTTCTGTTTTCATATTCATATAGCAGCCTGTATTTTGTTACAAAGCTGAAATGTACAATTGATATTCTAGAATATGACAAAATATGTAATTTCACTGGCACTGTTAAATAAGAAACATGTTTATTTCTGGACAGAATAGAATTCTGAATGAGATATGTTGTGTTTAGCAGGAGGATAAAACCTGAAAAAGTGAACTCTTGCTGCACGCTCCAAATCAGGCGTGTGTGTGGAAAGCATTATGAAACAATTTATCTGAAAGTTTATTTTAGAACTTGGTAAGCTGTTTTCTCAGAAGTGGCTTTTCCAAATGAAGAGATGTCTGTGACATAAATTGTTTAATTTTTCATATTCGTTCTGAAACATGCTTCATTTTGGCTTATTAAATGTGTTGCTGCAGACTGCATAGTGCTGCCATCATTTGAATTTGTACATAAATTTTATCTTGTGGCTGCCACACTGCTGAAAGTTTACCAGAATATAATGATTAGGTTTTTTTTATTTAGCTTGAGTGAAGAACACTTATGGGCCGTCTCTATTTGTCTGCCATCTTTCAGCCAAACAGTTTGTGATCTCATTAGTCATTTACCCTATGAACTACACATTCTGCCATATACTACGTAACTTGATAACAACTGAACAGATTTCAGTCAAATTTGCTGTCGTGGTTATACCATCGGAGAATAAGCCAAACTCATACATTTTTAATTCCTACAATTTGTAATCCCTGTGTGAGGTAGGAAGATTATCTTCCACTTTGACATCATTACTCATGGTTGTATGTATTGACTGATGTCACCATCACTCATGCTGCCATCTACCAATCGTTATATGAACATTGTTATCAGTGGCTGTATGAACTGATGTGATGCCCATTTGATATGTTGTAAAGAACACCTTTGGAACTTTTGTATACTTTGCAGGGTACACCTTTCCAAACTTTTTGCACTTATATACGTATTTCTAAATTCTGAGAACTTATAACATTGTAAAGAATTGTTTTGCATATAAAATATTGGGTATTTGATTTGTGTGTTGTATTACTTGCGAATTATTATTTATATACGTACGTAATTAACCCTTACAATGATTTTGGAATTTTGCCTTAAAATTATATTCCAATGTTGAATCAGTTATAAATTAATGCATGTAAAAAGTTAATGTTATTTACACAAAGTTGTGATTAGTGCCTTATTTTTACAGCAACCAGCTTTGTTAGCACACCTCCGTCAACTTCTTTTACATCTCGTAAGTACCAAGTTTCTTTTATATCCTGCTTTTTTTCTGATAATTTATTCATACTGAATATGACATCCTTTTCTTACTCTGTGAATGGGATGCAGTCACTTACATCTTTCAGTTAACTAAACAGATAAAAACTGTTACTGCGTAGTGATTTACAACAACCAATGCAAAACAAGGAGTGCCATGCAGAACTCATAAAGCCTACAGACTTCTAGCCCTACAAATCTTGTACTTTTAAAGATATACATTGGTAATGCATGTTCATAATGCAGCAGTAAATCCAATTTAATTGTTGGGTTAGTGTGCTGGGCTAATGCACAGTTGGTCATGGGAATGAACCATAATTGAGTCAGAATTCTTTTGTTGCTTATGAATCTAATTTGTGACTGACAATGTTCTTGTTATTATTACTATTATAAAAATTTAAGGTGTTTTTATACTGTAATACAAATGGCGTGTTCATGTTAGTCTGCCCATTGGGAACTATACAACCCCCAGAGGAACTCCCTCATTATTGTACTGCTGGTTTAATGGAATACTAGCGCATAGCATGGCAAGCTGAATAAACCATAAATGGTGTTGTATAGATGATTTGATAAGTGTTAAATTAGGCCACAGCTGCTTCCTTCCACAGCTTTACCAATTCAGTAATTGTCATATTATTTAACACTGTATAAAAAATTAAATCTGTGGCGTAACAGCTCCAGAGAGCCAAAGCCGACTAGCTTGACTGCTGGCCTCACGTTCACATGCCTAAGCAGAGGTGAACGATCATCCAATCAGATATAGGGTGACGTGTGGTCAGCACGACGAACCCCCAGCCATTGCTAGTTTTCATGACCGGATTACGCTACTCATTGTAGCTCCCCAATTTCCTCACGATGCTGGGTTGGCACCGGTCCCATACACCGGTCGAAAGCTCGTGAGAAAATTTCTTCTCCCCCGAGACTCGAACCAGCTCGCATTCCGTATCGCCGGTCTGAAGCATGATGCCTCAGACATTTAACACTGTATAATCTGAGATATTTACAGCACCTTGAGAAGGTGATAGTCACTTAAATGGTCAAGAAATTCCTTACCATTTATGGAATCCTAAGGCCACAACCTAACCTAACAACAGCCAACTACTGGATGCTATATTCAGTTAAATTCATTCTAAATCCTCACATCCAAGTTATTTAAGATCCACTTTAATAATATTCTCCCACGTATGCCTACGTCTTCAAAAATGTTTCTCCCTCTTGATGTTTCTTTATCTGAAATTCTCATATCCCCACACATATTGCATGTCCTGCTCATCTCATCCTTGATTTGATCAGCCTCATAATATTTGGTGAAGAGCGGATATTATGAAGTTTCTCACTATGCAAGTTCTCCAGCCTCTGTACCATCTTCTCTTTTCTCTTCTACCCAGCATGCTGTTCTTACCCTTTATTTTGTGATCTTTCCTTATTGAGAGACCAAGTTAAAAAAAAGCTAAGTTGTAGATTTTGCTATGTATTGTGACCTCGAGCTGAACACTTTAAACTTATATTTTTATGTATTTTAAACTAAGATGTTTATTGAAAAGAAGGGAAGCCAAGAGACTCAGAACACAGTGACAACAAGTATTCTTCGAATTTTATCTGCTTGTAATTTATTTAATTATATCTCTGTTGTGTAATTATATTTCAGCTTGTAGTGAAGATGAGGTGTGGAGTAGGTGTGTGGTGCCATGTTCCCAAGTCTGCGTTTATTACGATTTTGCACTAAAAGGAAGTGGATTCTGCACAAGTATTGAAGACTGTGTCCCAGGTGAGAAGCCTGTGATGAAGTTTTAGTACTAACCAGTGAAAATTAAGCTCCATTGTGTGTTCCATATTTGTTGTCCACAAACATTTATTTGATATTAGTTTGTAATCTAGGTTGTTTAACATTTTTTCAGAGGAACCTTTATGTTTGGGACTGAAGTGAGAAAAGGTTGAATTAAGAGGAAATATATTTATTTTTAGAGAGAACCTTCTTCTATTTATTTGGGTTCTGAATAATAGGCTTTATTGACCTATCATTTTCACACATGTTCTTAGGATGGAGTTTAATGTCCAATGCTTTCCAGGTTATCTTGTTTATGCATCTGGATGTCTTGGCCAGGATATTGGTATCTTTATCCCCGAATTCAGAGGAAGCATGTCCATCCAAAACATTTGTAGATAATGAACATTGGTATACAATTTATACAGTGCAGCAACCCAGCAGATCACAATTTAATCTCTACACCATAGAAACCTTGATACTATAAATTGATGGTAATTTTTCCAGGTTGTGCACCTGCAAACTCAGCTATTAATTGTCCTCCCGGTTTCCTGTGGAGAGATGCCGTCAGCTGCGTCAGAATTGCCGACTGCACGTGCCGATCTCACAGTGGTAAACCTATCAAGGTAAGTCTGGAAAAGACAAAGAATGACCTTAGTAATTTTCAAAGACCTCACATTAATTTCATCATTTGGTTGTTAAAACTTATTACTGAAGCCTGTGCCAAATGGAGTAACTTCTCTTACATTGCTTGTATTAAACCTTTGAATAACAGTGATAACTTTATATACCTCCTGTTCTAACATTTGATTACTCTGCATTTTGTATGATTTTTCAGAAAAAACAAATTATTTCCCTATACAGCATCAACTGATTGATCTTTGTAATGAGGGCGTGTTGTGTTTTCTGATTAGGTACGAACTGTATTTTAAATATTATTCAGATGAATTTTATACTTCATAGGGTTAATGCTCAATTTGATGTTTTCAGCCTGGATCTGTGGTCCAGGAATCTGAGTGTGAGGTGTGCCAGTGCATTGATAACCAATATGAGTGTGATACCTCAGCATGCAACAGAACCGTTGCAACAACTGAAGCAAGTCCCATATTTGTCACTGAAACAGCAGCTACACAGACTGTTCCAGCTAAGAATCTTGAAAATATTACTGCTACTCCTACTGTGACATTGAAAACAACAGTTACTCCGCCCCATCCATGTGACATAAACAGGTAAAATATGGAGCAACTTATTTATGATAAGTCTGTTGGCCTGCATTGCATCTGTCATCTGAGGTGGGAGAGGCCGTAGCACAGGGAGGGTATACAGCTCAGCATGGACCACAAATTGTGTTACTGCTGTCATACTTCATACATGAAGAGGTGAGGAGAAGAGCAGGAACGCAGAAAAATTACGTTGAATTTTAAACTGAGACTTTTGCATGGGAGATGAGATGTGGTTCTGTTTCCCATCCTTTGGAGTTGGTTTATACTTTCTGTTTGAACAAAGTGTCATCTCTCTCACTAAGCTCACAAGCTCTACTTCATATACTGTTGCAAGTTGGGAATTTATGCAGTGTGCAGTACACAGAGAAGTGTTGAAGATGCTACGGATCCTCCGTTGCCAAATGAATAAAGTTCTTATAATTCGATGCAACTTTTAAGTGATTTGTTGTCTGGTGTATTTTTAAATTTATGCTCCATGTAACTTGGTGATTTTTTTACCTTTTTTATTGTCTGACTCTTTGCAGATTTCCATTTTAAGTAATTAAGTATTGTATTTCTGCGGATTTACATGCATTATGTCGTAAAGGTATCATTTATAAAATTATGGCATTAGTTTTTGTGAGCACATAAAATGGGAAATTATAGTAAATTGAACGTTTATTTTATTATTAGTGGCTATTCTTTTCATATTTATGGAGATGACAATAAAGAGTGTTGGGCGTAAAGACCACCTTCAGAACTTTTATGTTCTCCAGAGAGTACATCTTTCCAATCGTGTTTATAAATACTGTATGTATAATAATAGGTTTATTGCATTGCTCTGACAGTCCTTTCTTATTCCAAATAAAATTAATGAATTGCTAGATCTCAAAATTGAGCATTTTTCTTAAAATCATGGTTTATTCTGCTTTAACTCGTAACTGTGTAGACTCTGTTCAGCTAAGAATTTATATTCACTATAGTACTTTTCCAAATCATATTTATATCCACATTATCAACTAAGCTTTTTAAATCTTCAAACTTGTATGAGATCTTAAATATATTGTGTCTTGGTTATAATGCTGATCATGTATTTGTGTACGATACATGAAATTTGAATGATTTCAGGATCAACTACATAATTGAGGAATTACCAGATGTGAAATTTAGTTCAGGTAATACCCAGAGTCCACATCAACACAGACTCCAATACCTCACCCCAGAGTCTTCAGGTGAGTCAGGAACTGTACTGTGTTACATATTGTGTTGATGTCTTATTTCTTGAAAGATAAATGAGCGTAAATGCAGTATACAGAAGTATTTTAAGAAACTACATCTGAAGGTGTGCTGTGCTCACATTCATTACATTATGACATTTCAGAAACAGAGCCAGTTTCTGAAACATTGTGGTTTCTTCTTTTAAACAAGGATGATGGAAAAAGTCCAGACAATGAATAATTTTAAGTGTAATCCACCATTGTCAGAACCCTTTAGAATTGAATTAAAACAAATAGTCCAAATGCAAGTGTGTTCTGTGAAAGGAAACAAATTGTTTGGCATAATAATCTAGAAATCATGTAATTTAAGTGAAATATGAATTTATTTTATTATTTATTTGCATTGTGTTATAATTCCAAGACATCAAAATGTCTGCATTCTACTTGTAATCTATTTTATCTTATCTGGATTAGATCTATTTTCTTAACTTAGAAATGTCAGTAATTGCGTGAGTGATGCATTCATCTCTATACTAACTTACTGTGCTTAAATTATTTTATACAGATGTGGTTTGGAAACCTGTAGATAACAATAAGGACCAGTACTTGCAAGTCGATTTGGGAACCCTGGAGCCATTGTATGGGACAGTTGTATGGGGGAATCCGAAAACGGATGAGTATGTTACCAGTTACATGGTCTTATACAGTGATAATGGGCAGCGCTATATGTACGTGACTGATGCAGAGGATTCACCAATGGTGAGAATAACAGCTTGACTTTTCTTAGTTGCTTTGGCTGTGTTGCATTTATCTTTATTATAACATCAGCTCTATTCATATCATCATCACTTATGCTATTACCATGCTTAGTGATGTAATTTTTCATGCATTTTTTTTAAAAATAACAAGAAATTCTGGCAAGAAATTGTGACATTTACTATCTTTCAAATGCTTCAGTCCATATTGTGAGGCTATCTGGAATTATAAATTCATAAATTTTGTAGTTAGCACAATATTTACTTTTACAGATTTCCATTACATTAACATATAACAGTTATAACCTGAAAGTTTTGCATGATCGTCATGTTTGTAATTATTAAGATATAAAAATATTTGATATACAATTTGCATGTATTTTTATGATTGTGTTTATACAAAATGGCATACATCTATCCCTGATGGTTTATTAGTATAGTAGTATTAAGGTTATAACATTTTAAGTTCAAGCTGGTTTCAAAATTTCCTTTAATATTGCAGCATCAGTGTATATAATTATTTTTCTTTTTTCCTTGATAATATTTTTTGTATATTTAGATACGATTGGACAATGTATGTTCTGTGTTTTTCACACGTATTTGTTGCATGTCGTATCAGATTTTCCGAGGTCCTGCCGATCACAAGAAGCAAGTAGTACAGCAGTTCTTCCAGCCAATAGAGGCTCGTTACGTCAGATGGAATCCTCTCACATGGCACAATGCTATTGCAATGAAGGTGGATTTGTTAGGCTGCGGGGAATTGACAACAGAGGGTGCCACCATCACATCAGTAGGATTCACATCTACATCATATGGTATGTGAAATGAAAATAAATGCATACATTAGTAATATAAATAAAAAATTGAACCACTCTGATCATTGAATTGGACATGAAGAAAGACAAAAATTGCTATTTTGTATGGGATCCTTACCTCAGTTTCTTGAAATGTTTCTCTTATTCTCAGTATTTCATTGGCTGTTTCATGTATTTTGCTTATACACATATAAATTGACATTTTTTCTCATGAAAATTATTCTATTAACAGAAGTATGCAGGGATCAGATGGGATTAGAAAATGGAATGATGGCTGACCAGCAATTCACTGCTTCATCTGTTTATGACAAAGATGAAAGATTTGGTCCAGCAGAAGCAAGGCTAAATGGGGATACATCATGGGTACCTGCTACACACAATCGCAATCAGTGGATTCAGGTATTAACATATCTGATGTACCTACAACCTCATAAGTTATGATAACATTAACTACAAATTGATTATAGAAGAAAATGAGATATTATGATAGGTGTGAACATACAGATCATTAGCTCAAATAAGCTCCACCTACAATGTGATTTCAGACTTCTATAATCTCTTCCTTTATTCTAACGAATTGAACATTTCTCACCACACACCATTAATCATGTGCATATTTTAATATTGTCATATGAGAAATGTGAAAAAAATTTTACTCGTCACCACTTCTGTATTTAGATTACGTGGGTATGTTTTGGTTGTTACTTAATCTGAATTTAAAACATTGGTGACAGGATAAAGGGGTACACGTCCAAAAATGTACCGAATGTAGTTTAGAAATAGTAGTACTTAAACCTCAAGTTTGTGTTTTTTTTTGTATTTGTCTGAATTAAAAAAGAAAGTGTATCTAATTTTTGAGAACTTTTAAAGATTATTTTCATTTCTTGGACTTGTAGGATATATACCAACACTACCCAGGCACTGGTAAGCTATCTGAATAAGCATTAAGTGAAGTTAGATGAGTTAGAGCAGCATAAACTTTTAATACGCTGATTCGTAGCATCATAATGACATAACCTTTGTTTTAATAAAATCAGTTTGCTGTCTTGTGTGGTTATAACAACAAAAACAAACACACAAGTAGCCAAGCTTCTTGATAACTTGTTCAGATAAGGCGATCTGTTGTTTCCGTTATCAGAATTCTTTGTCGGTACAGCCATATAGCACATGTCAGATATGTTTTACAAGGGAAGGCAGATTGAACACAACATTCCTTTGCTTCCTCGACACAGTCACCAATGCAATTTTATTTGTTTGTGCTGCTGGGGGAATACGTAAGTGTGTTAAAAGAAAGAAATAGGTGGTGTAATATGAAGCCAAGCAAGTGGTAATGGTTCTGACTTCATAAACAAGGCATATTTAAATACATATCTCTTGTACCAATAAATGTTCATATGATCTAATAGATTAATTCATATATATTTCTGTTTCTTTCCAGTTTGACTTCTTTGAACCAAGGAACTTGACAGGAATTGTAACACAAGGAAATGAAAATCTGAACAGTTGGGTTGAAACTTTTACTGTTCAGCACAGTCATGATGGAAAAGCATGGAATCCTATCCATGAGTCAACTACACAATCAGAAAAGGTAAGTTTATTCTGTGATTTTGTGCAGTGCTCATTTGTACTTGAAGTGGCACAGACAAGTGCTTTCCAGCCTTTGATTTTGGTCACATAATTTTTTAATCTGTTATTTAAGCATTATGGTATGACATTCGTGTTTAGTGAGATATATGTGCGTTACTTTCTGCTGCAAAATTCAGCTTTATTGCATACCAAAAAATAATATTCTTCTTTGAAAGGGTTATTGAATACTTTATCTGAAGTAATGATGTTTCATAATAATTTGCTTATAATAGTTCTTTATAAAAGAGTAAGTTAAAATAATGTAAGTGATATTTTAAAATCTTTATAAAAGAGTAAGTTAAAATAATATAAGTGATATTTTAAAATTAAATTGTTCTCAACATATTCTTTAGGAAATATGTTAATAAAGATACAGTACATTAGACTGACATTAGAAAGTGCCCTTTAAGGAAATATGTTAATAAAGATACAGTACGTTAGACTGACATTAGAAAGTGCCCTTTGATTTCTTTGGGTTAGCATTTATAAAATAAACATAATTAAAAAGTAATTTTTTTTTGTCTTGGTGAGAGCATGATAGATTATGTAACTCTGTTTATTTATTTTTTTTTCCATTCCTCTTATAGGTGTTTCTGGCTAACTTTGACAGTGTCACACCACACACAAACATATTTGACAGGATCCTGCATACACGTTACCTCAGGCTGTTCCCTGTAAAATGGCACAAGAACATTGCATTGAGAGCAGAAGTGTTGGGATGCTTTGAACCTTACCGTAAGTTTCCATTGCAGACTCGTCTTCACTACTGAAGATCGTTTAGCCTTTCTAGAATGAGAAAGTTTAAGCGTGTTTCTATTTCTCACAGCTTGTGAGTTGTGTAAATGTTTTGCAGCAATTTGTTCAAGGGAAGATTAATTATTTTGATAAATACTAAGAATTTGTATCTTAATTGCGTCATGTTTGTGTTATATCAATACATATATTTATTTTTCCAGTCTATACACAAAACTTGTTTTAAAATAATGTTGTTAAAATTATTTATAACATTTACAATATAAATTGCATTATGTTATATTTTATGGCGCCATAAAATATAACATAATGCAATTTATATTGTAAATGTTATAAATAATTTTAACAACATTATTTTAAAACAAGTTTTGTGTATAGACTGGAAAAATAAATATATGTATAAATACTAAGAAGTTTGAGCTGTCTTTGGCATTGAATATGTTGGTATATAAAATGTCCACAGGCTATCAGGGTTCCTGAATCTGCCAGTAGTAAATTACATTCCTCATACTCTATTGTTAATTATTCCTCTTATTCCAGAAGTGAGATGGACAGCTATTACAAGGCCATTGCCCACAATGTGTTAGAAAATAGAAGTTATATCAATATTTTGGAACTTGAGAGACAGAGAGACCCAGAAGACCTTGAATCATAGTTTTGTGTAAGATTTGAGATTTCCACGGTGTTGTTCAGATTATAGTCTTCTGGGTTGTAGCACTGTGTGTACCTTTTCAAAGGAACATGCTTCCTCTGTCTTCAGGCTTGAAGTGCGTAAGGCCAGAGTCAATTATGTTTAAGAAATGTTGGCAAGGTGATGAAGTTAATGGGGTTATGACAACACAAAGTACATACAGTGGTCCACATTGGTTTTTCGAATGATTTTCTGGATTGGTATTTAAGGCAGGAACTGCATCATGATGTGAACTGGAATGCCCTAGTTCAGGATCACATCTGATAATGGACTTTGGTGTTATTCATTAACCATAGAAACCCCAGTGGTAACTATATTTACCACCTCATTTAACAATCAGTACCTCATTTTACTCACAGACTGTGTTTATGAATGTCATTTGATTCTCAGAATAGACAGCAGTTACTTCATAAAAGAATTTTAACCAGTTGGCTGTTGTAATCGAGAAATGTGTTTCTCTGAGGTAGGAACTGAATTTTTAAATAATATTTAGATGGTCTTTAGGCTTCATAGGGTCAACATAGACTGTTGAATTTGTGTTTCGTAGCATTTAGTAACGTATTTTCTTCCAGCAACACCACCAACCACCGAAGTTTCTTTTACCACTTCAACCCTACCACAATGCAACCCTTGTCCTGGGTGGCACAGTGAAGATCCTGTAGCTGCAGAACTATGCCAGTGTCCACAGGGAAAGTTTTGGAATGGAGAGTCATGTGTAAATCGAACAGAATGCCCATGCTATGTGGGATATATTTCATATTCGGTGGGAACATTGTACGACTCACAAGATTGCAATGAGTGTATCTGCAAGATTGGAGGCATTGGAAGCTGCAAGGAGAAAATATGTCCTCCATGTGATCAGGTATGTCAAAATTTGTCAATTTAGAGGTGTGTTATAAGTTTTCTATGACTTGTGTGTGGGATTTGAGTATTATAATGAATTCTTTCAGTTTCATTTCAGATTTAAGAAAGACCACCAGCGGTTTATCTTGCTGATACCTCAGGGCCAGACTTAACCCTTTCATTGCTCATAATTGTTCCACTGCTTTCCAAAAAGAACATAACCTCAAAATCTTATTATGAGTGTTGCATTATTGCGTATATATAAATAAAATTCACAAAAATTACCAACTCATGAATCATATATTTAGTAGTATATTTGTAAAACTCAGTTTGCAGTCTTATAATTGCTTAAAATTGAGAAACATACATACATACAAGTGTCAAAATCCCACTCCAATACAAAACTTTCAGAAACTTAGCAGCCATGTGGCATTACATACAACTTAAGATTTTTCAAACAAAATGGTTGCCCTATGCAGACCACCAAAAATATGTTATAGCACGAGGACTTTGAAAGAGAGAGAGGAGAAGATTATTCTTTTATGTGGATTACAATAGGATTTTGCAGGATATAATGAAGAATGGACATTTAGCCACAGTTGAGTCCTGCAGGAGGTGTTGAAGAATAAACAAAGAAATCAGTTCATTTTCGTACTGGTTACAGGGTCTGCAGAGAGTACTGACTCCCTCTTGTGGCTGCATTTGTAAGCCTTGTCCACCTAGTACAGTCCTCTGCCCAACAAGCAACATTTGCATTAATGCCACATCTTGGTGTGATGGTTTGGAAGACTGCCCTGATGATGAGAGGGACTGTACTACACCAACCGTCCCAACTACCATTTCTACATCAGCAGCAACCATCCCAGGTGAGTTTAGTGTGGAACATTTTAGTATTCTAGTGACCATATCATATCATTATTGAAAGCATTGCTTATTGTGTGTTCTTTACTCTTTGGCATAAGTGAAGTACACTTATCCATCTGTGAGTCTGTCTGTTGATATTTGGGAACACTGGGGCAGGTAATACATGAATATAAGCTCAACTGTTATTTTGAACATTGTCTATCATCTTGGTTATTTGTTAAGCGAAGGTGACAGACAGTGTCCAAAATAACAGTCAAGCTTATTGCAAAACACCTTTGTCAGAACCCTCTATACTTAATGTGCCCAAGGATGTTTCAGCTGAACAGCTTCCATTAGATCTGATCAGTAATTTTCTTTTCATCGTGACAACACATGGCATGTACAAGTGTGCACATCCTTCAGATTTAATCGTTTATTTTGATTTTCCAAAGGTCTTAATAGCAAATTGGTTTATTAAAGGACAGCTGTCAGCAGAGCGGTACTACAATTATATTATACAAAGTGATTGCTGTTCATATTTATTTGTCGTGGATTCCTTGACATATAATATCTTGATGTTTCAGTTCCGGCATGCCCACCAATGATATGCCCAGAAGGATTCAAAGTGGTCTTAAAGAAGGACACGCAGTTAAAGAACCCAGAAGAGTCCTCAATAATATTCAAAGACAGGTTCAAAGGTATGCCCCTGTCATATCCCAATTATTAGTGACCAATAATATATATATATATATATATATGAGTGTAAAGAAGTAACCAAATTGTTCTTATATGCTTAGAACACCTACATTACTTATGTACAGAAGGGGATGATAGAGAAAGAGAAATCCCAAGTATAGATACGTATACCTCTCAGTGACTCAGTTCATTGTCAGATTTTTTATAGTTACCACAAATCATTGTATTGTGATACAGATTGTGCAGAATGTAAATGTGTATGTGTATGTGTGTATTCATTTTTGAAATGCATTTAGTAAAAATATTTATTTTTTAAACTAAAATGCGTGTAGTATTTGAGGTTTTCACGGCAGTGAGTCTGAAGATTGCTGTCTTCTGGGTTGTCGCCTTGATTATGGAGGCAGCAAGGACCTCTGAAACGTCAGTAAACTTCTACCAGACTACATGGCACAACAACCCAGAAGACAGCAATCTTCAAAATGCATGTGGTCTTAGATATGGCTGCTTGGAGCACAGATTCAAATTGACTTTGAGATGTATATGAATGTACAGACAGTATGGCCTAATGTAGTATCTACAATTTTATTGCATTGGAACCCTTTTGGTGATGAAATACTTTTGTAAAACAATTTTTAAAATACCTCTTTTCAGTTGTACATGCAGTAGGTCATTGCTGGTTTAAAATTATTCTTCTCTTATCTTTGTTAAATTAATTACATCACATTGTTTACATGTGACTTTTCCATTTATAGGTGTGAAGGGTGGAAATAAGGGTGGTGTTAAGACAGTCCTACCAAAACCTCTGAAACTTTCAAAAGGAAACTTGTGCCCAGATTTTGTGTGCGTACCTATAAAAGAATGCACTGTTCTGAAATGTCCGCCTAACTTCATGGTTCATATTGTCAAGGAAAAGAATAATGTTAAACTTAAATGCCCCATATATACTTGCGTTCCACCTTTGCCTCCACGTGCGTCTTGCAACATCACAGGACGAACCTTCCACACGTTTGATGGTACGGAGTTTAAGTATGACGTCTGTAACCACATCTTGGCAAGGGACCTTCAGAATGACAACTGGGATATATCAGGTAAGATTGAATCTGGTAATCATATACCAAGACTTAAGAGGCATTTTTTTTCTGTGACTTTCATACAAAGAGAAATTTAATGTTACGTATGTTCTAGTGTACAAGGATTGTCCAGAAGTGAATGTTGCGTGCACACAGCATCTTGTTATAATACAAGATGAACATGAGATCAGACTTCATCCAGACTTGAGCGTGGATTTCAACGGCTACAAATATAATGTTGAACAGGTTTGTACTAGTTGACTGTATAAGTATGTCCTGACCTGCAAAAATTAAAAGTGTCAAATGATTTTGATGTTGCTAGAAAATCTTCAGTGAACATTTCTGTTATTAAATCTTTGTTAATGGAATCCAGTGGTTCAGCACAGTCAGTATGAAGTGCACCATTGAACATGATCCTGAGACAGTTCTCGTCCTCAAGTCAACTTGTTGCCCGTATTTATTTCTCTCATTTATGCTGTATGTCCAACCCATTGCAACCTCCATTATCTGACTATACTAACAAAATTAATGAGCCAGCATAGCTCAGTCAGTATAGTGACTAGCTACGGGCTGGACGACCGGGGTTCGATCCCCGACGGGGGCAGAGGATTTTTCCTCTAGCCTCTGCGTCCAGACCGGCTCTGGGGCCCACCCAGCCTCCTCTACAATGGGTACCGGGGTCCTTTTCCGGGGGTAAAGCCGGCCGGGGCGTGATGCTGACCACTCACCCCCATCTAGTTCCGAGGTCAAGGAAGTGAGGAGCTATACCTCCACTCACACCAAACGCCTACATGGCGTATAGTGGGACAAACTTTACTTTTTACTTTTTACTAACAAAATTAGGTGAGCTGTGTCAATTTTGAAGTCTGTCAGTATGCCATATATTGTGTCCTCCACTTACTTTATCTCGTTTAGGTAAAATGTTTTACTGTGCTTTTGTTTTCAAATACTCGCAGTTTAGCAACAATTTAAATGTGTATGAATGTCCAAGGAGTAGACGTACTTCAGTTTGTAACTGATCTTTATTTGTGGACTTGTGAACCACAATAAGTTACATGGACTAATACAAGTTGTAGAACAAATGGTGAAGTAAATTTTTGACATTTTGAAGTTGACTTCCTGAGTCCTTCTTTAAATGGTGTAGTTGAAGAAATGGCAAGCATGGGATTGATATAACCTGGAATAGTCCAAGTCGGAATATTTTGATGTCTTTCAAGTTGCTTGTATTGTTCTGACTTCCATTACGTTTCGTATTTTTCTAATACAGTTACAGAAAATTGGCTCACAGTTGAAACAGTCCTTCACAGTGTCGCGCATGGGTGACACTTTGCTCTTCCAGTCACGACGCTACGGTTTCCAGGTCATGTGGGATGCAAAGGAAAGCATAAAGTTATCTGTAAGTAAGATGAAAACTTTGGTATTTTTTACATTTCTTGGCGATGTTGATATGTATTCTTTAATGTCTTGATGTTTCACATTATGACCACCACCAACCTTGGGGACGTTTGCAGATATTCCATTTTCTCTGCTGAATGATTTTGGATTTTTTTTGTGTGTGTTTGGTGCTTTGTTTATGTTTTCTGTTGTTAATGCATATTGATGTTACAGATTCCTGGTAAAATGTCTGGCCATGTAGATGGACTGTGTGGATTCTTTAATCGGAATATGAAGGATGACAAAATGAAGCCTGATGGAAAACTTGGAAGAACAACAGCTGAATTTGCAGACAGCTGGGTTAATTCTTACCTTGAAGCAAAATGTAAACCACTTTCGTGCCCCCTCAGTCTCCAGGAAAAGGCTCTGCATATTTGCTCTCTTGTCAGGTAAAGTTTCTTTCTCTGCTAAAATGGATTATAGTAACCGTGGTTGCTAGTTCTTATTATCTTGTTACATATTGAAACAATTCAGGTAAAAACATTTTCATTCTTTTTCTAAGATCTGTTAGCCTTTTCAGTCAATAGTTTTATTAGCAGTTTTCTTGATTTTAAACCTCTGACATGAATGATGCTGTTGTTTGTCCCAATTGTATGGTATTTAAGTTAGTACTACTTCATTTGAACCTAACCTAAACTTCACGTGTTTTCAGTAATAAAATTTCTTCATTCCCCTTGTCTTTCTCCTGGCAGCAATTTTCATACCAAGAAAATGGAGCATTAATTTTCAGCTACGGAGAATGGCTTCACAGCATATATATATCAACTTTGTCTTCCTCAAACTTAAAGGCTAATAAATATTAGTATGTTGAGTGGTAATTTTTTACAAGAGGTAGTTTAATGCAACTCTGTACAAAATTTATTGTCTGCATTATTAAAGTTTGGAATGAAAGTGTGAAAATGTAATGAATGAATATGATATAGTTCTGATGAAACTTTGCAACATCCATTTTCTCGTGTCTAGCATTGAAATCTGTGCCATTATAGGGAGCCACTGTTTGCTCAGTGTAGAGGAGTAGTGAGTGTGGAGAAATATATTTCATACTGCATTGAGACAGCATGCTCATGTCTGCAAGCTGCCAACTCAACAGAGGCTGGCTGTCGATGTCAGGCACTCCTTGGCTTTGTAACACAGTGCACGGCTGCTGAGTCTAGTGTCGATTTGTCTTCCTGGCGAGTGCAGCATGATTGTCGTGAGTATATGGATCCATCTAAGTATCATTCTTTTTATAGTTGATGTACTTAATTTGAAGTGATCATTAATTAAATGTTGATTCTTTTTATTTTTTATCAGTGCATGAACTGTTGTGTCAATTATGAGGTTTAAGCATCCTATTATTGTTTGCATTTTGTGGAAATTATTAAAAGTTCTCTTAGAAGATTAGTGTAATATATGCACAGTTAAAGATACATGATACACAAAATTAGTAATTTTATTATTTCATTAACCCCCCCATCCCAGGTGAACCATGCAAGGAACTTGCTTCGCTGGGATTCAGAGTGAACACAAATGGCCTGAGTGGTTTCAAGTGTTATTTAACAAAACCTAAATGGCATACAGGAATTAAACACACCATTTAAAGAATAAATTTGGGCATATTTGTTGGAGAAATGGCATGACTCTGCAATGGCCACTGGGAGTACAACTGTTGACATGGCACTTTTTGCGTTTGAGTTTTTTCCGCAAAATATGTGACCACTATTCAGTGGGATTTTCTGAAAAACTTCCATAAAAATTCTTCACATCCAGATTTAATTTCCTTACTTGGGTTGAGTGACTTCCACATCAACAGTTGCATTTCTAGTGGCCATATTTGTGTCCCAAATACTTAAAAAAAATTAAATTCTCCTTCCAGTGTTGTAAATTTCATACCAGTGTGCCATTTAGTCTTTCTTAAATATGTATTTCAAGCCTCTCATGTCATTTGTGTTGAAATTGTATGTATATATATATATTCCTTTTTGATATTTAAATTTTGATTTGATTCTTGAAATTGTAATATTTATTTTTCTTATAGCGGCATCCTGCCCACCACCTCTTGTGTTCCATGATTGTTTCCAACGAGAGTGTGAACCAAACTGCAATGGCATGAAGGACAGAAATCAGTGCCCATCCATGCCTGGTACTTGCATTCCAGGCTGCTTCTGTCCTGATGGTTTAGTGCGTAAAGGAGACAAGTGTGTGAAGCCCATCGAGTGTCGTGACTGTGAGTGTGACTCGTTACTGTGTCCTGTCTCCTTTATACTATCTACATCATCTGTTTGTTTTACTTGTTATTCTGATCAGGAGTACCATCACAAATTCATAACATTCCCTGTTGCTGTTTGAAAAGCAACATGTGAATTCCATCAGTAATTTCCCACAGCTCTCTCTCTGCTATATTGCAGGTATGTCTGAATTGTTACCAGTGAATGTTCATATGCCAATTACAGTGTCACCTGAAGTTCATGCAAATCCATGAAATTTGAAAAAAAAATGTATTCTGTCAAGTACTTCTGATATTCAGAAATGTTTGAATGCGTAATATTCAAGAGTGTTCTGTAACTTCTATTTTGACATATCACAGTCCTGCATTAATGTTTAAAAATCTTTAATGTGATTAGAGTAGTATTTATTCTTTGTTGAAGTGGTTGTCATGGAGATATGAAAATAACAAAGAATAATTCAATATTTTCAACATCTTTAGCATACTCAGAATTCTTCTTCTTTTCCGGTTTAACAATGTTTCTACATTTTCCGGTACCCTTTACGGGTCCCCAACTTCTTAGTTGGCTTGATCTATAGACAATCGGTAGGACTTCTTGACGAGAGATTGGCCCGTTGCAAGTCCTATACCTACACACAGGATAGCACATCACAGAAAAACATCCATGGCTTGAGTGGGATTCGAACTCACGGTCCAGGCGACCAAGCCACACAAGACCCACGCCTCAGACCGTGCGGTCACTGCGGACCCCGCATTATCAGAATTGAGAACTTAAAAGATTTTCTCATACATACATAACCTCTTGTACTCACATCCAATTGCATATGACAATGCATTATTTGCAAGTAAAAGTCCTGCCTACTACTTGCTATGCACCTGCAAATCCCACCTGCATTCCACACATAACCTTCTGTCTGAAAGTATAAACTGGTCAACTTGTATTGGATGAAGTGTTTGTGGGGGAGGAGCAAGAACCAGTCATTATTTCTTATGTTCTAATTAATGGGAATTTCATTTTCAGTTTATGAACAGTTTTCATTAAATGAGGGATGATTGTATGTATGACTTCTTTGTTCTCTCACTTGAGAATTCATTGTTCAGTCTGCTACTTCAGGTGTGTGTGATGGATTTGGCGATCCTCAGTACTTAACATTTGATCGTTCGAACTATACGTTTAATGGAAACTGCACTTATGTTGCTGCCAGAGATGTTAATCCACATGGAAAACATACATTCCAGGTTGGTTCCTTCTACTCTGTAGTTATATTCGTGGCATAATTCACTCAAATAATGTTTCCATATAACCTGATTATTCAATTGGAGACGTGCAAAAATACAGAATTGTGTGTCATTAAAAAAATATTTATATCTATATCAGGAGCCTCTTCTTGTCTGCCCCTCGTAACATTTGTCTGGTGCCTGGAATTGTTGGGGAAGCTCTTCGTCAGTATGGTTCAACTTACCCCATCACATTAACATTACTCTATAAATGATGTTAAATTAAACAGAGTGATTTATCATTCATTAGGAATTTCTTGTAAATTGAAGTACATATAAATCATAAGACTTGTTTATTTAAATTAAGTTAATTAACAGTTTTAATAGCACTCATGGTTTGTGAAAATGTCTGCTCTGTGATTATCTGACTCACTGTATCATTAAATTCTCTACTTTGATTCCATCTCTGTTTCATATTCAGGAGGCAAGTACTTTGAATCTTGGTTAATGACTTTTATGACTGTCATCAGGTTCTAACCCATTTGATTCCAGGATAATGCCTTGAAATAAACTGTGGCCATTTCTTCCTTTATCCTTATCAGTTCACTGTACAAAGTGATGTCTCATTTTATTGCCTTACATAACCTGCAAAATTAATATAGCATTGTTAAATAATACATGAACCAATTAATACTCATATTACAATTTTTGGCTGTCATCAGTTTCTTATTTTTCTGCTGCAGGTTTTTGTAACCAATGTCCAGTGCAGAGATGAACCGATTTCAACGTGCACTAAGGCCGTGTTGGTTGAGTACGAAGGTCACAAAATTCACATACAGAGGAAAGAAGGAGATAACAGACATGAGGTATTGAAGTCTGGCTAGTCATCTGTCAAAATGGTTCTGGGATGCTGTTTCCCTTGCTCACCTAACATGTCAATGAAGATGTGCTGAAACATGGTGATAACTTTACTTTACCATTAATTGAATGTTATAAGGATTACTGTAGGCATCTCTTCTTTCCAGCTGAAAGTATCTGTTGATGGAAATTTGGTAAACAAGTTCCCATTGGTTAATGACTGGCTGCAGCTGGAAGAAGTTCCAGGAACGGAAGTGACTGTGCTGATACCACAGATTCAGCTGGAAGTTACGTACTTTTTCCATAACTTTGCATTTGTTGTACGCCTGCCATCACATACTTACGGACATAAGACAGAAGGACTCTGTGGTAAGGAAATATGTACTGTTATTTTAAAATTGGTGACTAATCTTGAGGTCTGCTGCTAGATTCTTTATAGCACCAGGACTTATTTTACTAAAATCCATTTTGATATTATTATTCATTTTTGCCTCAGTATTTGTAGCTCCAAATTTTGAAGCATTCCCCTGCCAAAATTATGTACTGTATGTATTCCTTCACTCATCATAGTGTCCTTTAATTAATTATCTTTAGTCAGGTACAAGATAAAGGGAGATAGGTCTTAACCTTTAACTTATGTGAGACCCATATGCTGGGATTTTAAATCCTAGTACCCCATCCTATGAGTGATGTGATCTGTTCAGCAAAACACAGTGCAGAATACTTGACATTTTCTTTTATATACCTGTTTGATGAGATTTTTGGTGGCTTTGAATCTTTCCTGCAGCCCTCAGTATGTTATATTTTGCATTTTACTTGCACCCTCTTTTGTATCCCTCACGTGGAACAATGAATTATGAATGGAGGAATGAATTATTACTGATTGATCACTGAAATTTGCCTTGAGTTGAGCAAGTTTTCTCTCTGTGGCAGCAGATCTGCCAGTGGGACAGTTGAAATGAGGTAAATTCCCAGAATTTTCATTCACATTTCATAGGATGGCAAGTTGGGAATTTCTTTGTATTTTTCTTTACGATATTTATGAAACGTTACCACAGAGGCATGTTATATGAGAATTTGGTAGTTTTTCTAAGACACGCTGCCTTAAGTGATGAAGGATCAGGATGGGTTAAGTACACAATCCATGTAAATTTATTAACATTTTATTATTAAACACAGGTAATTGCAATAGTGGCAACAAGGATGACTTCACAACAAGGAATGGAACAGTTACCAGAGACATAGATGAATTTGGTAAGAGCTGGCTACATCCACTTCCATCAGAAACAGGGTGTACTGTGATCCCACAACCTGCCGAATGCATGCCGCCGCCGCCAGACGTCGATCCGTGTTTCAAGATCTTGGATGAAGAAAGGTTTGGGGAGGTGAGTTATTGCATTTTGCTGAGCCATAAGTAAAGTTTCAAATCTGTAAAAATGGAATTTTTCAGGAGTGGCAAAAAACATGTCAGTTGTTAAGTAGAATGTATTTATTCTGTGGTAACTTCTGCTTAACAAGTTATACGTACATCTTCTTTTTGGTATGTTTTACATAATCTAGATAGCCTATGTCTAGTAGATTAGTTCTGAGCACTCACAGAATTTCACAGCTTGTTTGTTCATTATGCCATGCCTCATTTGAAAAACCACATGTTGTGTATTATGACTCCTTCACGTAATTTCATGCAGTGAACTTCATTCTCTGTTATTGAACATAGGCAATTAGATTTTGCAGGTAGAATATTTTATGATAGGCTCACAGCCAATGGCGATGTCAAGGAACTGTGAAAATTCCAGATAAAATTTGAATTGCTCTGTATAATTACCATCTTCAGAGTTCTGATATGTAAGATACAATATAGATCTCATTAAGAACTACAATAATTGATGAATATATTGTATTTGTTGGGTGATTAATTTGTAAGAATACTTAGATTCTTATGTGCAATAAAATAAGGTCAGCTCGGCATAAAAATTTATAAAGAATCAGTGGCATAACTGGTTGGAGAGGGGGAAGGTAGAAAACCCCCATCTACCTTCAATTAATGTAAAGTTTTTCTTCAAGTTCATGCCTAAAATTGGCAGAATTTGGGATGAAAGCATGCCTCCATGATACCACAATTCATTGAAAATAAATTTATCTAAGAAGAGATTAAATTAGAGAAATTGAACACATTAAAACCTTTTAGTCTTCAATCTGTTGCGGCCCCATATTTTTATCACTAAGGTGTCAGAGTGATAATGAATTGCAAACTGTTCCAAAGGAACCTTATTAAGAATGGGTGAATGCAGGACTTTGATGGTTGAGCACCTATGAGGTAAAGAATAAGTGTCTGTGTGATTGTAATGAGTATTATAACTAAGATAATTTCATAATTATGTCGTTTTCAGTGCTACCCACTGGTGGATCCTTACCCATATGTGGCTGCATGCCAGTATGACAGATGTCACAGTATAGACAAAGAGACTTCTTCATGCCGTGACTTAGAAGCATACACTAGAGCATGCACGGAAGCTGGACTCTGCCTCAACTGGCGGACAAACGCTTCCTGTCCATATACGTGTCCAGAAGGTATGTAATTATGGAACTTGTTATCCTAAGTCTTCCACAAGCTCTGGCATCTGTATCATGTAACTGTGTGCCATTTTTGATCTCTCAGACCCAATGAAGTTTGTCTCATGTACAGTACTTTCTGAACAAAGATGCATTTAATTGTTGACTTGGTAAAACTGAACGCCACAAAGGCCGTGGTCTAGGCAGCCCGGAGTTTTCCTCCGTGGCATCCCAACAATTACTCCATTCACACACAGAAGAAGGCAATGGCAAACCACTTCTGGATCATCTGCCAAGAACGTATATGAACAGGTCCGATTCCGAGAAAAGGATGGAAGGATCTTGTTCATATGGACCTGTCGTCAGACAGAACACTAAATAATAATATAATAATTGGTAAAACTAAATCATTTGAAATTATATTTACATATTCTTACATCTGCACGTCATTGAATACTGCATATGAAATTGAACAGTAGACTAATTCAGTAAACATTTTTATGTTATGACTGTATCGCTTGGGACATTCCATGAAAGTGTAGAATTAATTAAGTAAACTCATTTTTTGCATATGAACATAACCTCACTTGGCTACATGTATCATTGTGGGTGTGAATAACACGTAGGCTGGAGAATGAATAAGTCACCAATACCAGGGCAAGGGGATATAAGTTGCAACCAAAGTATTACTGTTAACATCCTGTATTTCGCATTACCTGTAAGTTACTAAAATTGACACTCCAGCCCTAAGTTTGTGTGTAAATTGTATAATCATATTTATGTAAATTTTTGGAAAAATCAGAAATTTTGATTTATGGAAACTTTATGGAAATTGTTCCTCAGTTGATGAACTGTCATGACTTACACTCTTTTAACCTGGTACAGGTGAATTATTCATGTCCTGAAAATTGACAGTTATACTTGGACAAGAATGCCCACTTACATTACCCATCATTAATATATGAATAATTTTGTAATTTCTGCATAGCAGAACACCAGCTGTTCATCGTATCAGATCTTTTTTAATTCACAAAAATATGTAGCAGAACATTAGTATTATATTAGAATTTTTTACTGAATTTAATTTTCTCTGCAGGTTTTGTGTATCGAGCTTGTGGTCTTGGCTGCCGCCAGACTTGTGACTCTAGGTCTTGTGATCTTAGTCAAGTAGATGGCTGCTTCTGCCCAGATGGTCAGGTTAGTGGATTTCACATCTATGAGAATTAAACTTTGTTGGAAAAAGGGATTCATTTGTACTTCACTTTATTTTTACTTGATTGCTGATATGAAATTTCTGAGCACCTGATACTGAAATTGTGAAAACAGCTTTTGAGCAAAAATATTAAAATACTTAGTTTTATTATTAACAATTCTTTGTAATCTTGTAATATAAATTAATTTTTTATTTCATGTGTCACAAGCTGTTGAAGGTAATTTTATTATGTAATTGAGTGAAACTAATTAACTAATTTTTTAATTTATATTTTAACACTTTTCTTTTCTTCCATCGGTGCAGCATTTTTATGGCATTTTGCCACCAAGTATCTGCTCAGAAATCTGTTACCAGGACTCACTGACGTCAGACTTCTTGTCATTGCTCTGATTGTTTAAAAAAAAGAAGTTTGTGTAATTTAGTGGTTTGAATATCAAGGGCAGGAAATGGTGTATTGAAACACTAAAAAAAATCAGTTTATTCAGATTTTAGTGTTAGAAAGATAATACAGACAAGAAATATTAGAACTGCTGAGAGTTCATAGAGTCCACAGTAGATCAGTAGATAAAGCTTGTCTAGTATAGGCAGTAATTTAAAACAAAATACAGAAATCTTGTTTATGAAAGGATGGAGGGACTTGTAACAGTGGTTCCAAGGAGAAGATTAAAGATTGTTCAGAATGTTAACAGTGCCCATAGTATTAATACAAGACTTGGCAGACTGTAGCAAACATCTGGATAATTCCATTAACTTTATCAGTAAGAAATTGAAGGCAAATTAAAGCAACATAGTTCAGATGGGTGCCACGGTGGTCTAGCGGTTAGAACGCTAGCCTTGTAATGCTGGGGTCCCGGGTTCAATTCCCGGCGGTGCCCGAATTTATAACTTGTGTTGGGCAAGGCCGTGATCTAGGCAACACGGAGTTTTCCTCCGTGGCATCCCAACAATTACTCCATTCACACACAGAAGAAGGCAATGGCAAACCACTTCTGGATCATCTGCCAAGAACGTATATGAACAGGTCCCAGTCCGAGAAAAGGATGGAAGGATCCTGTTCATATGGACCTGTCGGCAGACAGAACACTGCAAATAAAATAAAAAAGTTCAGATGACAAGATAATAGATCTTTATGAGAGGACTTGGTGTAAGCCGTCTCTTTTCTGGAAACATTTATTAGACTGCACGTGGTAATCCATTTTATTTTGGATTGTTCATCTGTACACCCATGGTATGAAGGTAATTTTCATGGCCTTCAGGTTCTCATCAGTGGCGTCTGTAAAGATATCAAGCATTGTTTCCCATGTGACGAGGAAGGACATCTTCCGGATCAGATATGGAATCCAGACAACTGTACAGCGTGTACCTGCTCAAAAGGTATGATCTTTATCATTTATATATAGCATGTAATTGGACTGTGGATGATTGTAGACTTTGCTTACACTGTATTTGGACTGATTAATACATTCATGGTGGAGCATTTAAATGCCATGCCAAGTTTCCATGACTGAACAAAGACTGATACAAGCAAAAGTTTCTGTTAGATTTTATTCAAAAATGTATATATATGTTTAGTCCTCAGTGCCTATAAACTGTAAGTTTTGTTTCAGTTGGATGATGAAATGACAATTTCACTAGAAAACTCTGCGCTATATTTGGCAATGGGAGAGTTTGCTTATTTGTGTGGCAGTGTTATGTTGAGAATTACAAAGTTAACTTTGCTACTTTTTGTATCTGGTTATCATACCTATAAAACTTCACTGACAAGCACATTTGCATTAATTTGATATATGTATCTATTCATTGATTCATGATGACATTAGTTAGTTACGGGCATGGACTGGGCAGACAAATAGAATTCCTTCTTTTTGTCCATGTCCTGATAGGGAATGCAGAGCAGGCTGACATGTTTTCCTTTCAATAACCTTGCCATTTTTTCATTTTCATGCATCATCTCTCAGATCATCTCTTTTGTCTTCACTTGTCTCCTTTGCATGCTGAATGCATACCACGTCATCCCCGTAAACACCATATCATAACCATGTTGGAATCTATAAAATTATAAAATATCTCATACACTGTTATCCAGTGGCTTGCATAAGACTTAAAAAATTAGAGGGTTGCTATGAAAATATGAAGACTTACAAGAACAGGTCAGTTAAAGTAAGAATTTTTGTTTCAGATGGAAAGGTCGCATGTTTAAAAACTGAATGTCCAGCCGTTGAGACAGTGTGTGATGAAAATATGAATGCTATACCAGTGCCTGGTACAGAGGATGACTGTTGTCAAAAGTATATCTGTGGTATGTATGAACATAAATGATATTTTTCTATCCCCAATTACATAATTATGAAAAATTATTAGCTACTTAGATGAATTTGAAATTGGTTTTGGTTGTGTGTTCAGAGATTTTAAATTACGTCTTAGCAGTGATAATACATGGTAAATGAAAGAATTTATCTAAGTTGTATTGACATTACCTGTTTTCATAGTATACAATGCATAAGATAAAGTTTAGTAAAACAAAATACATGTTATCTGTGATTATCAAGTATGTTCACCAACTGTTGTTAAGAATAATACAGAAGTGGTCAGATTTACAGTTTTATCATATCTTATTCTAATCTTGGATTTTTTAAAATAAACTTGTTACTTTATTGCTATTGACATCATCATTAAATCACAAATAAATTAAATACATTCACTCAGGTACAGTTCATTATAAGTAATACAGCCAGAGTGTACTTGGCTGCACAGTACAGAACTACTACTGCAAAACATTTTGTTGAATTGAAGTTTATTTCAAGCCGCACATAATTTGTGATGCTGCACAGTCATGAAACGTGGTTATGGCATGGTATATTGCAATTAAATTTCTCAAGTTACAGTTTTGCTTCGGAGAAAACATGAGAATGAGATGCCAGTACAGTATTGTGAAATCAAAATATATGCGCATGTCTGCATAGATTCAATTTACATACGCACCATAAAATAGGGAAATGGGTTTATTTATCATTCAGCACCAAATACAATATACCATGTCAAGAAAGTGTTATCATCTTGAAATGCACATACAGCCACCTTATTTCTGTATTAGCCCTTCAAGCATAAAATTTATTTATCCGACTGTAATATGTACCATAAGCACCATAGTGTTACAGATAAGAGTATGTTTGGTGTCCATTAGAGTTTTCTCAATTTAAATTAAATGTTATTAATTTTTAAATTAGTCTCATTGTATGTGACAAATTATGCATCTCATTATAATAATCTGTATTAAAACTTCCTTTGAATCTGTATATAAGTGTATATTCAGCTGGTTCAGAACGCTGGTGGTGGGTTGTTATGAACAAGGTGGTGTCTTTGCATTCCATAGAAGACATATTTGACAAGCTAATTCAGTATCACCTTCTCAAAAGGACTCTGCTGCATGGAGTTATTTGGTATATGACATATCTAATTAAATATGTGAATAAATAATTTATGCTTTTATGACTAAGTCATTGATACCACACATTTCATGAGCATAAATGGTTTCTACACTTACCAGAGACACATTCTATGACAAACCTCTAACATGTCTCATTAAAATTCTAAAATGTTTTTTTAAGTTGAAAGATTTTGACAGCCACATCCTCCCCTTGAGATATTTGTTTCATGTGTTTTATACAGCATGCTTAATAATAATCGATATTTT